GAGAAACTTTGCATTACAATTTTTTTAGAACTCACATCAATTAATTATATTTTACGACGTCCTTTAGTTTTCTCCACGTTGTATATAAGGGAGAGTCTTAAAATAATTGGGATGTGCAGTGTAATTAACCCATAAAATTGCTTTATTAAATATAGTAGTAGGTCTCGTTTTTTTGTTGTTGCCATCAACACATTATTAATAGTGTCAATTGGGGTTTTTCGATGTATGTGTTATGAAAAACAGGGTTTTGATTTTCATTGTATTTTATAAAATATTTTTTATGGTTTAGTTAGTAAAAGTATCATCCAACATATTCTTAACCAATTCACTATTTTTAAAACTTTTAAAAGTGGCTTCTTCTAGAGACTTGATTAAAAGTGAATCCTCTTGTGTATTATTACATAGGCACATGCTTTTATAAAATTTCGTAGGGATGGATCGCTTTTCGTAATATCAGTTCTCAAAACTCCGTTTTTTGTTAGGCAGAAATGACAGCAGTCAATAAAGAACAAGGACATACGATAATATACCAAATATGTGCTAAAAAGTAGTGTATTCTGATTTTCACATAAGAATGAAACAAAAATATACTATTTTGTCTCATAAACCATACATTTACTGTACTTATTTTGTGGTTTAGAGGTAGTTTTCGTTTTTTAAGTATAGGCAGTATAGTCTAATTTGTTCAAATTGGCTTAGGAGCCATCAATTTAGATAATATTATAGCATAATTTTAGGGTTCTAATAAAGTTGTGTAATATTTGTGTAATTATGATTCCAATTGTCAAAAACACGAATCAATCAAATAAATAAGATTCGAAGGCCTTATTTGGCCCGTTCCAAAAAATTGACATTTATCTTTGAATTGAGATTATATACATTAATAAAGCAATCATTAAAACTATGTCAATAACGTATTTAATAATTTCGTTGAGTACGGATTGGTTGCAAAATAAAACGAACTGAGTGGTGATTATAAAGAAAATCCCTGAAGACAAAGAACTCCCAAACATATGTGTAATGTTTTTTGGAACAAATATTAGCGACTGTAAAGTAATATTTTCTAGAGCTTAGACCCTGCCGCTATAGAAAAACTATGTCAAACTTACACTTTAACTGATCTGTTGTGTTAAATGGACATTGAGAGACCTTAGTGCTCATATCCACACTGTGTCTTTCTTTGTTAGTTTACTTTTGAAAAACGATTAAATAGAACACATCTTTTTCCCATTAATTCATTTCTTCTTTACATTTATATGATACCGCACATAGAAAAAGGAATCTTATCTGCAACTATAATATATCAGTTTTGCCGTCTTACTTCACTTTTAGGTCAGAGCCACCTCGATTTACATTATATTAGATTTTTAAAATGGGTTAAGAACTTGTTACCGCGTCACTGCATCCTTTGAGGATTATTGTGACATACCCACTTCAGTTCCATAGACGAGTAGCAGTTAAGAATGCTAATATGTCCTTTGGAGAAATGTTGCCTAATTCCGTTATAAGTGGATAGGCAGTGGATTAGTACCGGAGTCTGAATCTGGTAAGACTATCATAGTGACACAGAACGTGTTCTGCTGTTTCCTCTTCTTCGCAACAAAGTCTGCAGCTGTAGCCTCTAGTAACACCAAGGTTCGATAGATGCTTTTTAACTCCGCAGTGCCCAGTGAGAAATCTTGTGACAAGTCGGATACCACTTCTATTCAGCATAAGTAGCTCTCTAGTTCTGGCTTTTGATCGAAACGGCATGGATTCTTTAGCTTGTCTGCAGGCAAGTGTATTATCCCAATCAGTCTGAGCTGCTCTTTCCAGCCACTCATTAATTTAAAGTTTGAAAAAGCGCCTCGAAGAACCGCAGAATGGTTGTGACCCAATATAATATGAGGCCGCCCCTTTTCTCGCTAGTTCATCTGCTTTTTCGTTTCCCTCAAATCAGCTGTGCCCTGGAATCCATATTAAGTGGACTTTAATCCTTTCAGTAAGCTCTTTGAGAAGTAGAAGGCATGCCCACACTAGGTTTGAGGTTACTTGAGGTGAGCGTAGTGCTTAGAGTGCTGATTTACTGTCAGAAAAGATATATATGTTTTTTCCTGTGACAGGTTTTCCTTTATATATCCTGAGATATAGTTCAATTGCGTGTACTGCAGCCTGAAAAACTGAGTTTTCTTTACTCATACTCGCAAATATTTCCTCTTTAGGTTTTACTCCATATACTACCGCTCTCACTCCTTTCATAGTTTTGGAGCCATCCATGTACCACAGATGGTAGTCTCCAGCGAATGGAGGTATGTTCCGTTCCCATTCATTTCTGTCTGGTATTAGTATTAGGAACTTTTGGTGGAAGTTGAATTTAGGTAAGCAAATGTCAGATATGGTGATGTTTAGTCCTTCCTCTCTTTGCATTTCCCTACCTAACACGGAGTTATCGAGTAGTCTTGTTGATTGATTGCTAGTCAACTGTAGTTTGGCAATAAAAGTCATTGCTTCCTTTTTGACTAGTAGGTGAAGTGGGGGGAGCTCCAATGCAACCTCTAGGGCTGCTGCCGGGGTAGTTGTCATCGCTCCACTTGTCATTATGCTGGTTAATCTCTGCAGCTTACAAAGCTTGTCTATCACATTCTTCTGCTGACCTTTCTTGTATCAGATAGATGACCCATAACTAACAATTGGGCTAGCAATAGATATGTACATCCAAAGGCTGAGTTTTAGATTAAGGCCCCAGTGCTTACCAATAGGGTTTCTGCTGGTCCATAATGCCTCTCTGGCTCTTCGTATAACATTGTCCACATGAGAATTCCACGTCAATTTCTCATTCAGAATCATTCCCAGGTACTTTACCTGGGTAACGGCTGATAGCTCTTCTCCATTCAGGAATGGGTTATTGCTTTTTTAGGGTTTAAATTTGATTCTACATCACTGCACCATCTAGTTACGATTTTCAGTGTTTGCTGTACTCGATATTTACCCCTGTGAAGTAAGACTATATCGTCAGCATAGCCTTGTGCCTCGAAATGTTTGGCACTGAGTCGATGCAAAAGCTCGTCCACTGCAATTGACCACAGGAGTGGGGATAATACACTCCCTTGTGGGCATCCCTTTTCAGTATGCGCTTTAATTTCGTGAATGCCGAGAGTGGAATTAACCATCCTATTTCTTAGGACATTGCTTATCCATGTGCGTGTCGTATTATCGACTCCTCTGTCATGGAGGCATCTTTCGATATGTGAGTGATTTGTATTGTCAAACGTTCCCTCAATATCAGGAAAGCAACCCACCGCAAATTCTTTGCAGTCTACAAACTCTTGTATTTTATTAGTGACACTGAGTAATGCATGTGTGGTTGTTTTATTTTGTTGGTAGGCATACTGGTTGGCGTGGAGTGGATTTATAGATAAATACTCATCCCTTATATATCTTTCCACTATCTTCTTCATGGTTTTTAGAAGAAATGAAGTCAAACTTATGGGCCTATGGGATTTAGGAAGTTCGATAGGTTTACCTCCTCCTTTAGGTATGTATTTGACAATTACTTTCTTCCAATTAGTGGGAATGATTCCCATCGCCAGCCCTGCTTTAAAGATATTAATGAGGTAGGGCATAAGGTGAGTTAGTCCCTTTTGTAGGAGTGCTGGAAATATTCCGTCTGCTCCAGGGGCTTTGAAAGGAGAAAATGAGTTGATCGCCCAGTTAATTTTATCTTCAGTGAAGATTCTTAGCTTGGCTAACATTTTATTCCACCATGGTGCACTTCTGTTGCCGGTCTTGTTTTTCAACGGACATGCCCCATGGTAGGCATTTATAATAGTTGTGCTTAAGACAGCATCAGCTATTTCAAAGTCATGAATGTTGTTTATCATATGTTTATTATTGTCTAGGATGGCCTTGAGTTCGTCGGTATATTGATCCCACTCTGTGGCCCTAGGCACCCTATATCCTTATAGGGTTTCGTATTTAAATCAATATCAAATCTTATCTGACGATGATCAGACCTGGATGTTTCTGCTGAAACATTCCAGTTTTTGATAAAATGTTTTATAAATTCTGTAGCTAGGGTGATGTCTAGTCCCTCTTCCCTGATTCTGTTTATAAAAGTGGGCATATTGCCCGCATTCATAATATTTAGGTTGTTACCTGTAATAAATTCAAATAGACACTTACCTCTTTTATTAATATTGGTGCTGCCCCAGATCGTGTGGTGTGCATTAGCGTCACTTCCAACGATGAGTTGCATCTTGCTTTTTATAGTGTAGTCCACTAGTCCTTTCAGTGATAGGTGACAGAGCCACCTAATTTCATTTTTCCATTTTGCGAAATTTTGTTTTTTGATGTATTTGTTTAATTTTCCATTGTGGTGGGTTGTTAGCAATAGTTAGCAATCATTTTTGTATCTCATATTGGCTTCTAAGGTGAATTTCTCTTGCAATATTTACTGCAGATATAGCTATACAGTATTTTTCTTATAAAATGAATATGGTTGTTTTCATCAAAGTATCAGTATTTTTTTCTGCAGATATGATGCTGTGGTCCCCAGTACCTATACGTTATGGAAGCGGTGCTGTTGTGTTGTGTCACAAAAAAATAAAGGCAAACAAACTACAATTTAATAAGAAAAAATGAACAGGTTTCTTTGAAAGAATTTTAAGAAATCCATATGCAATAAACATTGTCATTGTCTCTCTAGTCTTCAGTTCTTCACAGATCATAATTTCGCTTATCAGGAAGCTGCAAAGTCTAATTTGTTAGAGCGAGTCATTTTATATAATTTATAGACAGGGAAAGAAATGAGAAAATCTATTAAATTCTATGTTTTTTGAATTTGTCTTATTTAAATACACATATACATATGAATCAAAACATCTATCCACATATTATTTTCAAATTTTATATCTCTGACATCAAAATTTAAGATTATATTTTTGTTAAAGTCAAAAAAATCAAAATCAAGGAAGATTTCTTTAAAATTATATTTAAAATTTATAACATGCTATATATATACATAAACATTATTCGTCAGATTAATATCTTCATAAGATGTTGGCACTAATATTTTATCAATAAGTATAAATAATAACAAATATTATAAAAATAAAAAATAACAAATAGTTTAAGCTATAAAATATTAATAAAATAGTTCTTTACTGTTGATGAAAAGACTTTCCCACAGTTTCAGTTTTTCCATTTCTGGAAGATCAACAAACTTCAACTGATCGTTTATATTCAAACATTTATAGATTTTGTCTGATTTTTTAAGCGGTTCCCATGTTTCAGTATCCAAACCAGAGATATTATCATTGTTAGGATTACCAGTAATTGCAAATTGTGTCCATATACCAATTGTACGTTCTATGGTGCGATATGAAGGGCTATCTTTTGGCAAGCGATGTGCTAACAAATTCCAAAAAATATAAGTTAATTCATCAGCATGACTAACACCTTTAACACCGTGTCCTCGACGAAATATACGGTAAGGATTAATTATTTCTTCTGAATCGAAATCAAAACGATAAAGATACATGGGGGCACTAGCTGCATGTGCAAAGCGTGATTGTATCAAACGATGTGAAGGAAACCACATGTATCTATATGAACACAGCTATGGATGAGAGATATGAATGTTAATATCTTGTAAAAATAATAAATTCCCTGCTTAAACTTACATCCAAATAATTATCTGCTGTTGGAGTTTCTCCAGTTACATGCGCTTTTTTTATTATTAAACCTTTCTCTTTAACTTCGTCTGTAGTACGATCAATTGCAATCAACTCTGTTGGCACTAAATTTACACAAGTTTCGAGATCTTTTATGACCATTGGTAAATTTTGAACCTCTGAAATTAAAGAAAGAATATTATTCTAACATATAATATGTTTATGATTTATTGTATATAAAAATTAAAAAAATTTTAAATGAATAAGAAATACAACACTTTAATTTTTACAAGACAGCTGTTTTGAGAAATTTTTTTTTATTTCGCTATATATCAATAAAGCTCAGTTTTTGAGATATCGTGCTATGAAGTTGAAATTGTTAGATGTAAACTGCTGGATTAAGGACCTATCTACCATTATTTCTGGCTTTTATGATCAAAGACAATCGTTTATTTACGATTTTAAAAGAATCGATCTTAATCGTATACTTAAAAATAAAAACAGAAGCCCTTTCTTTCATTTCTATATTAATTTTAATTTTCGAACTTATGGTAATATAATAAGCAATAAATATTGGTTGTTATATATTGTTATATATATTATATATTATTATATATATTATGTATTATTATATATTATTATATATATTATATATTATTATATATATTATATATTGTTATGCATATTATATATCTCTAAACAGATTTATAAATAAATAATACAACATTTTAAGCATACCTGGTGTCCATAACAAGCCCTCATATGAAGTATTTCCCAGCATTATAGGTATGGCATTACTCCAGGCGGTTTTTGCCATAACTCTGGGATGATTTGGTATAACACAATCTGCAGAAATGTATGGTTCCAAAGTAGGCCCAAATGCAAAACTTATGCTTTCTTGTCTCTCTTCAAGAGATGATACATTTTCCTTCAATCCAATTAAGTCTCTGGATTTTGCTTTAAGTAAGAACTGTAGCACATCCTTTTCATTATTTTCACCTTTATATCCAGCCAGTTTAGCTAAAGTAAAAGCACCTTTTGTACAACTATCGCGGTAGGCCCAGCAAGCATATGCATTGCCGGACATTAAAATAGCACGATGAAACAATCCTTGTGTCTGTTCAGTAAGCATCATATAATGTGTAGATGCACCGCCGGCACTTTCACCAAAAACTGTTATGCAATCTGGATTTCCACCAAAATTGGTGCAATTATTTTTAACCCATTTAAGTGCCAATACCTGATCCTTAAGACCAGCGTTACCGGGAACATTTAATTCTGGTGTATTTAAACTAAGGAAGCCTGTGTGTTCAGTAAAAGTAAACTTAATATAATTACTTATAAACATGAAAAAAGGTGAGAAAAAACATACCTAACGCTCCTAAACGATACTGTATAGTCACCAGTATAACATCTTGTTTCATAAAATAGTCCGGTCCATACCAATCACGATTCGCTTCGCCCATTATAAATCCACCACCGTGTATCCAAATCATAACAGGACGTGGTTTTTCTGGATGTAACTGTAATGTTAAACTATTTTATTATATTTAAATTAAATTATTGACTTCATTACATTATTTGTATAAATATTCAGGTACAAGCAATCTTCCGTTCCCTCAACTTTGTTATACACAAAATTTACTTGCACGGATTTGTCTTTAGCATTTGTACAATCCTTAACATCGGTCCAAGGTATAGGACGTTGTGGTGCTTTAAATCTTAGCTCACCCACTGGAGGTTGTGCATATGGTATACCCTCAAAGCTATAATAAGGTTCATCATAGATTGTTATTCGTTTGACGCCCTTAATCTTGCCATATTCGGTTTCTGCAATAACGGTTTCATTGGTTGTATGGCGATATTGTAGGAATTTGTGTTCAATAGTGCTAGTTATTAAAAATAATGAGACCAAGAATAAAATATTTATATTTTTAGAATATTTATATTGTTAACATAATACATAATATAATAATATATATCTAATAATATTTGATTATATATTAAATATAATATTTTAAATATTTAAAAATATTTAAATAAATTAAATTTATTCTTATATATATAACCTAAACTAATATAAATGAATATTTATAGTATATTTATAGTTTATAGAATATTTATAGTTATGTATGTATGTATGTTGATCCTTATTTCGTGTCAGCGCAACTAGGCACTTCTACTCTTTGATAGCTGAGAGTACTACAGGGTCCCACCCATCTCATTGACTTATGTATTTCTTATAAGTTTCATGATTATTCAGTGATTTACCTAAGATCTGCGTACCTCCCCGTGCGTAGAGTGATTACTCTAAGATTAGATAGTGCTAAGTAGGATAGCCTGTCAGTTTTCGCATATAACTTCTGGGCTCTGTCTCTTATGTATTTTTTGATCATGATTATTCAGTGATTGATCTAAGATCTGCGTACCTCCCCGTGCGGAGAGTGATTACTCTAAGATTAGATAGTGCTAACTAGGATAGCCTGTCAGTTCTCGCATAGAACTTCAGGGCTCTGTCCCTTATGTATTTTTTGGTCGGGTCTATTCTAAGGTCTCTTAACATGTAGTTTGTGCGGATGTACCAAGGCATTTTGAAGAGTCTTCGGAAAGCCTGAATTTGAGCAACTTGTAGTTTTTGTATAGTAGAGTCGGCAGCTTTGTTATACGCGACACACCAATAAAGTAATGCTGGTCTGATTATCTATTATGATTATTCGCGCTAAGGTATGTTTAATAAATGTTGAACGAATTTTTATTATTGACGGTAATACTAATACTGCAAATAAAATAATATGGTCTTGGATCAAATTACAGACTATAACTGAAAATTATTAGCAATTTAACATTTCTTAATGTTTATGATCTTTAAAGTCACAGTAAATATAATTATATTAGAACAATAATTTCTATGAGAATTGGTTGGCAACTGTGGTATGCATCTAGGAGCACATATTAAGAAACTTAAATCAAAACTATTCTTTTTTTATTTAGACATATATCAAAACATTATAACATTATATTTAAATAAATTAAATTTATTCTTATATATATAATATGTATAATATATAATATGTCTTATATAATATGTACTTGTATTATTATGTACAACTATGTGAAAACTATTGTCACGATTGCAAACCAAGTGAACTAAAATCGAAATTATAAGTAAGAAATAAACCGAATATAAACCTTAAGTATAAACCTATAAATCTGCCTTAGTGCATTAGGTATATACCACTATATTTGGCTTATACCTCTTATGTATAAACCTTATGTAGGCACAAACCTAATGAACTAAGATATGAAACCTAATTTACAAAAACTTTGGAGAGGTAAATTAATCTAGCAAAGCTTTTATTCTATTTATGGAATATAATTCAGAGAGATGAATATCAGTAAGTAACTGCAATTGTTTAAAAAAAATCTTTATAGAGATCTCATATAAAAAGTATAATAACGAAAATCTTTATAGAGATCTTATATAAAAAGTATGACAACGAGATCTCTACAGATTTTAGATGCCATTTGTTCTACTGCTGTTATCTTAGCTATACTAATATGTAAACCATGTCAACATGTAAGCCGTTTTAAAAATCCTACGTAAGCTACTCTTTAATAATATCAAGAGGCCTGGAGGGAGTCAACGACCTGTGAAGATATTTAACCCTACTAAGTGAATTGTATCGTGTTGTCTTTAAAAATCGAATTGAGCAGTTGGCAACGAAGATGTGGCATCAAAACTTTACAAAAACGATAATTCGATTCACATACTACTTAAATCAACCAACCAAGAATAATTTCTTGTATCCAAAAGTTAATAGTTGAAATAAAAAGAAAACTCAGTTAAAACTACCTTTTTTATTTTATACTCATAAAAATAATAATATAATATATTGATCACTTACTGCGGGTATTCGTTTACATATTTCAGTTTCCTAAGATGTGATATTTCTTTACTAATAGCTATCTCATCAATCTATAACGATTCTTATTTTTTCAGTGTTGCTGACTGTATTTTTTTTCTCTCTTTTTTTCTTTCTCTTTCTGTCTTTTAATTTCTCCTTCTCTCTTTATCATTTTTTCTTTCTCTATCATTTTTTCCCTCTTTTTTTTGCTCTCTGTGTTTCTCAATCTTTTTTTCGAAGAATTTTAGTCTAGTTTTTGATAGAACCGGATAGAAACAGGGAATTGCTCTAAGGAAATGCTCTTTTATGCCTAGTCACCTGAATTACCTGCATTCATCACCATTGACGATATTTAGTCCGTTCACAAATATACAGTGCGCTGCTAGTTAATATCAACTAGCATTCCGCTGTTATTTTAGTCAAAGGGAATACATGTTATAATATTTCCTGTGGTTAAGATTTACAAGAATTAGGCGGATATTCAAAACTAGATACGATTGTCTTTTGACATATGAATATATGTTTTATATATATAAGAATATGCTTTATTAGATGTCTAAATACTTTGTCATTGCATTATAAACAAACGCTGACTGCTAAATTCATATATTTTAAGTCAGAGGCGAAGAATAAGAGAATTCTCTCCAAAGTAGCGTAGATGTTCTGGTTTATAAAATATATCCAATATCTTAAATATCTTAATATTTATACTAATTAATTTTACATTTATACTAATAATCCAAATTAATACCTAATTTTCTCATGAATTTTATTGCATATTACTGTATGTAATACTGAAATATATTAAGTGAATCCTTTTCTTAAAGTTTTGCAAAACTGTAGTAGCTACGCTCGTATGGAATAAATGTTTCTAAATAAGATAAGATATTTTTATTGCCTCGACGAGATTACTCGTTTATTGTGAAATCTTTCAGCCGAAGAGTATTTTTTGAACTTTTTGATTAGCATTTAAAATGTACCACAAAGATTGTTAAGTCCATGAATATAATAAAATAAATATCAATATTTATGAATTTGTATATATTTATATAGTGAAAATGTATAATTAATAAATATTTTATGTATATTATTAATTATTCCGGTAAAGTATACAAATAAATAAAATAAAATAAAATAAAAAATAATATAACTAAAAAAAATTTTTAATCAACTTTCGTCTACTGCAAATAGAAACAAAATTAATTCTTTTGTTTTTTTTTTATTTTACTTAAGAACTGAAAATTGCTTGATTTGTTTTTTCTAACAAAATATATCTAATCATCAAATATTAATTTTATTTAAAATATTTTATTATATACATTTATTTAAAAATTTTATTTAATTTTTAAAGTATTAAAAATTATTTTTTATTACAATTGCGTGATCGCAAAACGTTCAATGACATCATATTAATTTTTTTCTGTTGCCAGTCTTCCGTTTACATGCACTAATGAAATTTCACTTTCAAGCACCACGAGACTCGGTACTTATCATAAAATAAATATCACTTCACACTGAAATATCTTATTCCTCACGTTACCGAAATCCACTAGAATGTAACCTTCACATTAACCATAGCTAACAAGCCACGGAGATATCAGATATGGACAGCTGGCGCTCTTTAAGTTCTTAAAGGGTGAGGTCAGCTGATCTATTAATACTAAATGGCACAGTTTCTTGGTTTGTATGGTTTGGATGGTTTGAATTATAAATATTTTATTTCAATGATCGAGTTTTAATATATGTTAATATTTTTATAATTACATTTAAAATTTATATATTAATATACATAGTATATATTATATGCATACTTAAGTCACATTTGGTTCTTAATTATACCGTTTAATGTTTTATTCTTCATACATATAAATATTTATACACACATAATAAACTGTAGTATTGTATTTAAAGATTATATATTATTTTCTCTTATTTGGTGAATCAAGTTCTTGTTTGTTCTATAATAAATTATTAATGAATGTCATTAGAAACTCACTTAAAACGCCAACGCAACTTTTCTAAAAAAGTGATATTTGGATTCATTTTGAAATTCGGCACCTTTATTTATTTTTTATGAAGTAATATTTTAAAATAAAATCGATTTATATAAATTTTATTTGTATGAAATATCTGTAAATTTTGGTTTCCAGCGTTCAACTGTAACGTTTGATGAAAAAACTTTAACTGAAAGTTAATGTGAAATTGTTGAACAATATCGTTTATTTAATAGCGATTAGAACAAAACAACGCAACGAAGAGTAATAGATCCATTAATAATAAAGTCAGGTCGCAACGACTTTGGCAGGCGCTATCGTCGTTATATATATCGTGCATGTTGCATAGTTATATAATAATATTTATATATTGAAATAATATAGTAAGATTGTAATTAGAGTGAATGATAAATCAAAATTTAAACAATTTTAAAATAATAACATTAGGTAATAAGTATAGTCCCATAAATATAGCAATATATGTACAATTATAAAGTTAACGATTGGAGCTTCAAGTTTGTACGATATTTTAATAATAATAAACTATAAACGCATGTTGAAGAAATTCAAATACTGCTTCAGAGCTCATATTTGTTGTAGTTATTATAAAAGAAGTCGAACACAACTTTCCTATATAAAGCACTACTTTGTGCTGGTGTTTTATTTGTTTATTGCAAAACAGAATTCTTTCTAAACATTGCAGAATTCTTTCGATTCACATCAATTCAATTATACATTAAATATGATTTGCTTTTTGTAGAAAGTTACTTATGTCTGTCGCTATTAATTATTGAGAAGTTAAAAAAACTCGTATCTTCGTATACTTCAGAAAGGAAGACACTGTGTAATTTTTATAACATTATAAGCTTTAAGCTATGTGTTTGTCACACACTAACTGTTGCTCTTCATACAGTTAAACGAACCCTATTTACGACTATTTTTATCTCTTTTTTTGCATCTTTAAAAAAATAATCTATTATTGTGTAGCAAACAGTTTATGTATGCTTATACACATTTTTCATTCCCACATTTTTTTGATTACATGTATATATTTTTTTACATATTAATATCAATTATGATTTTTAAAAATTAAATAAAATGTTAATAAATTTTTCATTCGGTCATTCAAATAGGCACGAATGCTGCTTTTTTTCATTCTATTTATATTATTAGATGTATTTGACCGATCCGAAATGCGGCAAAAACAACAAGTCTCTAGCTTAAGTCTCTAATTTATACGCAAAACAACAACACTACTCACTTGCTATGAGAGACTACTTCTAAATTCAGACTCCAAAATAAAATGTTACCAAAGCTACTGGAGAACTATTATGAATCATCATTAGAAGTTTAAACGAATATTCTAGTAAAATCTCAAAATTTGTTTTCAAACTAAAATTCAAAATTAAAAAACTTTACAAATTTGAAGATTATTGAAAATACATATTTTAAGAATATATCAAAATAACGTAAGAGTTGTTTGTTGTGAAAACATAATATATAAGTAATTTCAATACGTTAGCAAGAGACTTTTTGTTTTTTGCCGCACTTTCAAACGGTCGAATACATTATTGTTAATTTTTCGAAAAATGCTTGTAGTGATCTTAGTTGTTATTTATTTTATATCATATTTATAATACATTTATTCATCAGACTTTATTACAAAATTATAAATTCTTGCATTTTTTTAGCATATTTGAATAATTGTTCTACATTTTACTATTTACAAAATAATTCTGGAGTACTTAGATAAGAGAGGTACTCGAAGTATGTAAGCAATTTAAATCTCTATGATTTACAAGTTCTATAATTAATAAAATTTTTATTTGTTTTTATATATAGAATATACATTTATTTATTGCCAAGTGTTTTTGAAACAGTTTTAAACAGTAAATTGTATAAAAACTGTAATGGTTTGTACTCCAAATATTTTCTTTATTTATAAAATAATTATTTTTAATAAATTAATATTACAAAATCTTAGTTATTAATTAAGTTATTCATTTCTCACCACCACAAAATATCTGCTTACGCCCCGTTACCAGATTTTATTTTTTTGCCGTCAGAGTTGCCAAACCACTCTCCAACCCAACAGATGCAAATCATGTCATAAGAAATTTTTCAAAATACCAGAAATAAAAAAATTAAATAACCAACAAAACTTAAGCACCTCTAAGATAATGTTTGCTTATTTTGATTTTAGATTTCTTGTCATTTAATTTCAAACAAATTTAAATATTTATTTAAATTTTTTGTGTTGTATGTTACTCCGGTCTTATTATATTAGTTAGCTGTTTGATATTTAAGTTAGTGCAGTGTAAACACTTTCACAATTAGGATCCGTAATCAGCTGATGCGTTCTACTTTATGGAAAATAAAATATTGGACTATTCGTGTGGAAGTGAAAATAGGGAAAAACGTTTCTTAATGTAAACATAAGAGAAATCTATATCAGCTGATACAAATATTGAGCGTTTTGCATTGCATTTGTTTGTGCGCATATTATTTAATGATCGGATTGAATTTGTGTTGTTTGCGTTTTTTACTAACTACGCTTTCTGCGTTCTACCGTTTACGTTCTCGATTGTGCAGAAAAACATTACCATAACTTCATTTCTGACATTTCTAGCTGTTGTACTTAAATCGTACGTTGGGTTATAATTGTAGCGCATGTGGGTGTCTGGTATGCTAAGCATACTGTATGCAAATACTTGGATTAATTCTTCTGTCTTCTGTGTTTTTGTTGACGCATTCATTATAATCTCTCTACAAAATAAATATTTTTTAATTTGTATTTATTATAAATCTTTTCTTATTGGACAATAAAAATATGTATTTACTTGTTAATTATTATAGACATCGGAGCAGGTATGCTTATTAGAAAAACGAAAATATAAGTTTTTGTATTAAATAAAAAATTAACTAATAATATTTTGTGTCATATTTATTTAATTATTAATATGAATTTTTGAATTTTTTCGTTTTTATTATGTATAATGGAAAGTAATTGTTTGTTAATAAACATTTCAATAATTAAATTAAATAAAAATGTGTGTGAAAATGTATCTGGGAAAAGGCGTTAGTATTATCTGTTAATAATGTCAATAAAAATAAATTTTTATTATAAAAATGATCTAATGAATGACATAATTAAATATAATATCAACAAAAATAAAGATAAAGTTAAAAACTTCATAACTGATACTCACAAACATAGATTATATTAGGCTATGAATCATTTAATTATATTAATTGTTTTTGCGTTCATACACACAACTTATTAGCTCAAAACTGTTCTGCTCTTCAAACGATCGGATTACCTTATCAGTTGATATCATTATTTGAGCAGCAAAGCCAAACAATTTCTAAAGCTTATTTATTTGCTTTTAGCAAATACAATAACAAATGTAAGGAATGCACAAAAAACCTGTTTATTTTTGTTTACTCGAAACCATATGCGCTTTATTTGTTTACAAATAAACAAATTACGAACGTACAAAAACAAAATAGCCGGTATCAGTGGTTTGAATAGAGAGAATTGTTTTAATTTTATTCTCTTGCCGGCAACTAAGCAGCAATGTTCGAATTTCGAACTCAAGTAAGTTTTTAAAAGCTTTCACGATTTTATAAAAGTTTTTCAAGCAAGCGCAGAAGTACACAAAAGAAATGAGCCAAAAGCTTTCATTTAGAAAAATGTGAGCTATATTTTTACATTTTTATAAACGTTAAATCTCAAGCACAAAAACATTATCAAGAAACAAGTGAAAAAAATTGTAAACAGACAGACAGGCAAACGTTAAATACGTTTGTTTAGAACTTAAAAACTTGAAAAAAAATTTGTGAATTTTTATTTAGTAATTGCATTCATTTTTTATGCGTGAAAATATAAATTTTACTAGTCATTCAATAAACAAAATGATATGCATATGCATATATAAATAAAATGAACATATGTTACTGATTATGTTGGAGATATTTGAGCCAGTGCATTAAGCACTTTTACTCTTTCTTAACTCGAGGTATTTTTAAAACCCCTCTTTACGCCTTGACTGGATTATTGTTTATCACTTCATCAGACTAAGCAATAATTGACCTCAGATCTGCATACCTCCCAGAGGAGTCTGTAACCATTCTGAGATTTGATAACGCGGTGTTGATAAGTCTGTCAGTTTTCGCATATAATTTCAGGGCTCTGTCGTTTATGTATTTTTTGATGGGATCAATCTTGAGATCCCTGAGGATGTCATTCGTCCTAATTACCATGGTACTTTGAAAAGTCTTCTCAGAGCCTGGCTTTGTACAGTTTCTAGCTGGCGAATAGTAGTGTTTGAAGCTTTGCTAAGCGCTACACATCCATATAGAAATGGCGGACGAATTATTTGGTTATATATCAGTCCCCTGTTCTTAGCATTGAGATTTTCATTTCTGAATAGCGGTTGGAGGTGATGAAGAATTTTGTCACAGGTTATTCTTTTCAGTTGCACATGTTTAAGCAATGAGAATCGTTTGTCCAACATCACGTTGATATTTAATTTAATGCTATCCTCCCAGTTTATCACCATATCACCCACTCTGACTCTCGACGGATTCTGTCTCCACTTACGCGTTATAAACAGAGTCTTAGTTTTTTCAGTATTGATTTTTATTTTCCATTTCTGACTCCAGAATGAGGTTTATATGCTTTTGAAGAGTGTTGGTTATGTTGAGAGCACATTTATCTGAGTATAACATACACGTATCGTCAGCATATAACGCCAGAGTCGAGGGACCTAACATTGGAATATGAGATGTATAAATGTTGTAGATAGTGGGAGAAAGCGGCGATCCCTGCGGAACGCCTGCTTCTATAGATTAGACTGATGAGAGAGCGCTGTTGATTTTCGTACGAAATTACCTCCCACGTAGGCAGCTGCCGATGGTCTTAGTTAGTCTGCCTGAAACACCTAGATTAGATATTTTTACTATCAGGCCATTATGTCAGACCTTGTCAAAAGCTCATTCAATCATTTGGATCATTTGGGCCGTTCTAGCCAGTTGAAGCTCTTAGGACAGGTTATTCCTAAAGCCAAATTGTTCGTAAGGAAGTACATTGCGTGAAAGCAGATACAACATTTAATCTGCCAAGAATTACCCTTTCGTCTGCCAATTAATTATGTTAGTCATAAGCTGGATTGCATTCTCCGACAGGTTATGTAGGCATCTGTTGTTAATCACATCATGAGCAGGTGCCGATCTTATCTTTAATCTCGCTATAATATGGGAGATTTCTTCGTCAGTGCATAATGCAATGCTATCATTTGGCTCCTGATCCAGAATATTGTTTGCCTCCTCGCAGATGCGTTGTTCTTTCTCTGAGTCATATGCTATGTCTTCATTGGGCTGGAATTGAAGTTCAAGGGTGTCCGATAAGGTTTTGGATTTTTCTAGATCTGTATACACCAAGCCTGTCATTCCATGGATAGGTGGTATTACTGGTTTACGCTTCAGCCTGAAGTATTTATTCATGGCCCTGAAGGTTTGATCCCCTGTTTCAAGACCCATCAGAAATTCACCCCATTTCACATTTTTAAATGCACAGATCCTTTTCCTGATTTCATTTGGCCTCTCTTCTGCGCTCCGGGTCATCCTTTATTTTAGCAAATTTCCGGACTCTATTTCGATTTCTAATTATGTTTTTAATATGCTGCGGTAAGTTAAAATAACTGCATGGCTTTCTATTGTTGAGAGTGGAGCAGCTATCCAAGGCCTGCTTTAATAGATGAGTCAGGTTCTGTATACAGTTATCCAATTCTTCTGAGGTTTCTGGATGTTTATTGATGCAGCTAACGTCTACAAATTTTTGAACGCATTCCAGTAGGTGGTAGAGAACGTAGGGGTCATAATATTCATGGGGCAGTAGCTCATCCAAAACATCCATAAGCACGGTATAATCTAGGTTGGACATGCCAAGGTCTATTGTATGGCCTGCTCCACTGCCGTTGTGAGTTGGCTCGTTAGACGTATGGAGCTGTAGCATATAGTCATTAACAAACTGGACAATTTCCCTTCCAGCCCTTCGCAAAATCTTAGTTACTCTACTAGTTAGAGACGACTATCGCATTTAAATGAACCACGAGTGAGTTTTATTGCAACATTGAAAATTAACGGTATCTTCTGTGAAGTGATCAAGCTGAAGAAGCACTAATCGCACTTGATGCTCGAGACTGAAGAAGTCGCGCGCACAGCAGAGGCGCCTGGCTGGGAATGCTGTTGATTTATATTATTGACGTGGTGACAAACTTAAAACTTGCCCACAGTGACCGGAACTTTCACAAAATACATAAAATTTTTTTTATTTTAAAACGTTCCAGAAGTTGGCAAAAACGTATCTAGGTATTTTGATAGAGTTATATGAATAAGTTTAATGAATTATTATTAATAATAAAATAATTTTTACTTATCGTATTTGCTGCTTCCGATCTAGTAGTTTCAATGCCTGTAATATTCGTATTTATATTGAATAATATTTAGATGCATTGCTTTTATAGAATTCTAAAAATGATTAATTTTAATTAAAAAATTTATAAATTAACTTTTGAATATACTACAAACACTTGATTTTGGTCAACGAAGTTTCAATAACAATATAGAAATAACAACAACAATATATTATGTCTATGAATATTATCACATCAAAAAATTTATCTTAATTTCGCCCTTCATATACAATTTTCTGCTGTCCTCTGATAGCTCATCAGTATCGAGTGTAACATTATACTCGGGATAATTTATTTTGTTTTCGAAAGTTAATGCAATTGAACACAATTTTGATTGGGATTTCTATTTAGTCTTATTTCAAAATATGACCTTGCTACTAGTTGTGAAACACACAATACAACATGATTTAAATATCCTTCAGAGGACATCTTACAGTAGTGGATTCTTTTGATATGATTTTCTATGACTATTCGAACTTATAAAAAAACTAGAAACACTTGATATAGTATTTATGATCTTATTTCATTCATATATTTTGTGCGCAAAAATTTCTAAAATAGTTTAATACAATTTGTAGGGATTGATATAAGTATGAGTACTATTAAAATAGAAAAATGGTTTGAGGAATACATATATATTTTTCAATAATATAGGAAAGAAGTTGTCATATGTTTTAAAAATTAATATGGATATATATACTTCAAATATAGTGTAAGCAATTAATATAAATCTTTCTTTTTGTATAAAGTATCCCACACCTCCAATCCCGATTTTTCTGGTATTTCCATGAACTCAACATTTTCGCTTATATTCAATCCTTTGTTTGGATTAGATTTATTGAGTGGTTCCCATATTATAGGTTTGATTTCATCACAATTTGGATCAGATTTCAAGGCAAATGAAGTCCAGATGTTAATCATTCGTTGTATAGTTTTAAATTCCGCCGAATCCGTTGAAAGCTTCCAAGAATGTGCAGCATAGAACAGATAAGACAAATCATCAGCATGTGCAACACCGCGTACTGGATCTTCGCCACAGAACTTTTTGCGATAATGATTGAAATCTGGAGAGTCAAAATCAAAACGATATAAGTAAGTAGGCGCTTTAGCATATTCAAGACGTGCAAGAATTGTTCGATGGAAGCCGTGCCAAAAAACTTTGTATGAGTATAACTGTAAAGAAGGAACAGGATATATATATATATACTATTTTATTGTTAAAAAAATGATTCTCGATGCAAGCAATTATTTTTCTACAAGCTTAGTTAGTAAAAGTTCCAAAATAATAGTGTAAATTTACAACTGATGTGTGTATCAATGTGGTAAATGTGAATTGAACTACGAAAGAATAAAAAAAATTTACTGTTATATGTGTAATTTTAGTTAAGTAAATGTTTTGGGACAATCACACACCTATTGTGAACTAATTTTAGTAGCTCAATTTCTCCATTAGGTATATGCCATGGACTTAAAAGTTTTTAATTTAAATAATTTATCAAAGGAATTATTGCTTTACGTTATAACGCTTAAGGATTAAAAAATTTGCCTTTTACAGCGAACTTAAGTTCACATTTTGTATATATGAAGATAGTAATAATATTATTAGTTGAAACAATGAAAAAGAATAAATTGCAGTTTATAAGATATAGTTTATGCATAATTATAAATTGCATTATAATTTACTATTATTAACTTATGTGTATGAATATATTTCTAAACCTTTTAAATAATATCTTACATCCATAAATTTAAACATTGCCTCCGAGTTTGGTTCAGTATCGCCGAAATGAAATTTTATTAAATCTGCACTTAGCTTCTTATTATCCTCTGGTGTATGTGCGTCTCGCACCTCTTTTGGTAACAATCGTTCAGGATCTGTCTTAACTAAATTCATACCTTTTGGAAATAGTTTTAGACGTGGATACATAAGCAAGCCTTCAAATGAAGTACCACCTATCATAATTGGTATATCATTAGTCCAAGCTTTTCTCACCATTTCTATTGGCTCTTCTGGTATAACACAATCTTCACCAATATATGGTTCCACTGTAGGTGTAAATGGAAATAGTACACCATTTCTAACATCTGTTTCGGTAAGCAAATTATGCGTTACCAATTTGGTAGCATCAAGACTTCGCAAATAGTCTAATACATTTTTATCAATATTCTCGCCTTCATAACCGTGATATTTAGCTAAAAGATAAGCATAATCCTTTTGTGGTGTATTAGCCCAAGTATTTAATATGCAACCAGACATTGGTATGGCTTTATGGAAAAGACCTTTTGTCTGTGTTGTACACATCATATAATGAGTTGAGGCACCACCTGCGCTTTCACCAAATAATGTGATATTATCAGCGTCACCATTGAAGTGAGTTATGTATTGTTTAACCCATTTCAAAGCTAGTACCTGATCTTTTAATGCAGCATTGCCTGGTACTTCGAGAGAAGGATCCTGAAGACTCAGAAAACCTATGGAAAAAATATTTTTTAATTTTTTATGAAATTAATAACAAATTTTCAAATATTTTACAAACTATATTTTTGATTGATAATAGCTATGGTAAAAATGTGTTCTTACTCTCCTATAATTTTAGTTCGTTGCAAGTTTAAATGTAGAATAAAAACAGAAATAAAATTATGATATAAGAAATAAATCTTTTGACCATTAATTGTCTTTGCTATTTGATATTCATTTAGTAATGCTAAGGAAATGAATACTAAACCAAAACACAAATTAAATTCATCCAGTCCTGGTGAAGAAGTTAGACAGAAAAATATAATGGGTTATAATTATCATTATACATCATGTAAGTTTAAAGTAATTTTTCGTTTCTTAAGTCTAATGCCTCAATACCTGTTTATCGATGGATATCAACACTCAGTTGTCAATTTCAAGTGTTCTTGCATCTCCGATGACATTTTATGACAACATAAATTAGTTCGCCCCATGTTTAGATTATAGCTTATTGCAACATCCGTGCTGTTACAAAGTTAAAGTCTATTTGCTACTGCAAGACTTCCAAAATTTGGTATTATATCACAAGTTATAGTTTCTGACTCTCATTTATAGTTCCTCAAGTGTCTTCGTAGATGCTTTTTTTATATTAATTATAGGTTAATAATTAGTGATCATAATGATAGATTAATGATTATAATCATATTATGAATAATGATCATAATGATTTCATAAACATAATAATAATGATACTGAAAATTTAAAAATATATACTGAAAAAGATTGGGGTGTTTAACTGTGATGATGAATGATTTACGAGTACTTATTATTAATTATTTAATTGTAGTTTATTATCTATGAAAAAAGAATAGAATTTTAAATTCCAATTAGTTTGGAAAAAAAATAATGAGAATGAATAGAATAGAGTGTCTGACATCATATTTCTTATAGGTGTGGAGATGAAATTGAAAACGGAGTAATCGAATAACGTACTTTTCGGTAAGATAGAAAACATACTAACTCTAAGAATACATTGTGACCGAAAGGTTTTCGGAAGTTCTCATTTAAAATTCGCGCGCTGTATATTTTTCGATATTTTAAGTTTATGTAGTTTGGCAGCACTTCCTTAATTACTATCCAAAAATGAGCGCGATCTGTCAGACATTCGTTACGGCAGCTGTTGAAACCAGTTCCCCTCAGTAGTGCGTTGCGAAAAAACAATGGAAAAAAATATTGAACAAAGAGTTTGCATCAAATTTTGTGTTTCGAACGAAATTTCGTGTGCAGAATCGTTGCGAATGCTACAAAAGGCTTATGGGTAATCAGTTTTATCGAAAACTCAAGTTTATGAGTGGTACAAAGCCTTTCAGGACGGTCGTACGACCGTCGAAGACATGCCGCGTTCTGGACGACCTTCGGCCTCTACCACCGACGAAAACATTGAAAAGGCAAAGGAAATCGTGTTCCAAAATCCTCATGTGAGTGTTAGAGAGATAGCACGAGAGCTAGGCATCGGTCGTGAGAGCTATCCGCCGTAAACGGCCTCAATTGTGGAAGGATAATTCATGGATTTTTCATGACGATAATGCTCCCTCGCACCGAGCCAACATTATCAACGATTTTAAGGCCAAACATTCAATAAATACCATCAAACAGCCACCGTATTCACCTGATCTTGCACCGTGTGACTTTTTCCTGTTTCCCAAACTCAAATTACCACTCAGAGGAACGCGTTTTGAATCCATAGAAGACGAAAAACAGAATTCGCAGAGGGAACTCAAAGCCATACCGGAAAGCGCCAATAAAAAATGTTTTGAGATTGAAGAAACGTTGTCATTTTTTGTATCGCTTCTAATGGAGGCTATTTTGAAGGAAATAAAATAAATATTGATGAAGATTAAGAATTTTGCGTTTGTACATTGTGACCGGAAACTTTTCGGTCACAATGTATAAGAGCATCAGATAGTCTTGTCTTGTTGTAACAAGAGACTTTATTGATTTATTTTAATTATTTATATTATATTTTTATGTACTATATATTAATATATTACACATATTATATATTATTATTATATATTATTTATATAAGTACTTACCTAAAGCACATAAACGATAGTTAAGAGTGACAAGTATTACGTCTTCCCGCATAAAGTAATCGGGACTATAGAGGTCTTGTGTCGCTTCTCCCATATAGAATCCACCACCATATATATAAACCATGACTGGTAGGCGGTTAATATATTTCAACTGAAAATATGTAAAAATAAATAAAACACCACGTACGTTTATAAATTCATGTTAAAATATGCATATAAATATATATAGGTATATAAAAATTCACATAATAAAAATAATAAATCATGATAACTTTGTCGTTTAAATTGTTTTCATAGAAAACACCTGACATATTTGTACTACAATGTATCAAAACTATTCAAAACTATTGACCTTTGTTACGAATAAAAATTTGTGATAAAAATAAATTTAAATTATTTTAATAATAATGTATAAAAGACTTTGTATATACATAAAACACACTTGTAAATATAAAATAACATATTACAATCAAATAAAATGCATATCTAATCTAGAAACTTATCAAATTGTTACAAATTATTCTTTTGATCATTCGTAAATACCTTTCTCACATAGACGTTTAAATATAAACAATCTTCTGTGCCCTCCAATTGACCGGTCATAATATTTTTTTGAACCGGTTTACTTGCACACTTGGTGCAATCTAATTCTCCAGACCACGGCTCAGCGGGTTGGGGTGCTTTGAAACGCAAATCACCTAGAGGTGGTTTACCATATGGAATTCCTTCAAAGCTGAAATAGTCGTCACCATAGATACTTCTTCTTCTCGCTCCGCGAATTTCGCCTTGTGGTAATTTAAAGTGAATTTCACTAAAGAGTTACCAAATTAATTAAAATATAATGTAATTAAATGAAATTAAAATATATCAAGTATTTGAATGAAGAGTATGTACAATATTATATACCTTTCCATATTTGTAAAAATTTTGCACACAACACACCCGTACACCTACTCCGTCAGTTATAGACTAAAATTTTCGGTGTCAAAAATTGTTTAGAAACTGCAGTGAAATAAAATTGAGAGCTTACATGCTCTCTACAGTGGTGGCGAATGGATTTGCTTTAATGAATAGCGTAAATGATCTGTAAGTTTTATAATAGAAATCGGTACATACAATGAGTATTATAGTATAAAGTAAACATATTATAAGAAAAGTACATTGAATTAACCATAGTAATTATCATATTTTGGTTAAACGAAATCATTGAACTAATATAATTTAATATACATACGCACATATTATTTGTAAGTTATATATGCTCTATTGGTGCACACAGAAAGAAACCTAATATAATTCTACTCAACTAGAATCATAATTTTATAATAGCCATAATAAGCTATAAGAACTATATTCAATCAAAATATTAGGCTCCGTAAAGTCTCATAATGGTTCGGCAATCCATACACATTGTAAAGTCATTTTCAAAAGATTTTACAATAAGTCAGCCGATTTAAAGAAAAATACGTAATTTTTAATTACTTGGCGTTTACACTGGCTAAACTTTGTCTAGACTTTCTTATGCGAATGCAAATACTACGTGTTTTGAATTTCAAGTTGTTTCGAAAACCAAAATATGTATATCTTAATTAATAAGTGAGTATATGTGCAAAAATCGTGTTAAAGTCTAGACAGTGTGTGCGTATGACTAATATAATTTTAGTTCGTTCTTCTCTTTCTTTGCTTCATTAAACGTGAGTTAGTGTCTAAAGCACCCTTACTCAATAGAGTCTGTGATCATTATGAAACACCTTTTCAAAGGTTTGATATCGCATTAGCGATATGAAATAAGACTATTCTCGATTTCACTGGTAGCATTTTTTATAGTTTGAGAAACTCTTGCTAGCTGCATATCAGTGGAAAGATTTTTTTGTAATCCGAACTGTTCTTTGGGAATGATATTTTCAGTCATAACTATTTTCCCAAGTCTTGCCAGTACTATTCTTTCTGTTATTTCACCTCCTCTTTTTTAGGCAAAGAAAGGTCTTTTTTAGATTTAAAAAAGTTTGATTCTTGTTATTACAAGTTGATTTTTCATACACATGTTACTGATTCTATCTAGTCCAGGGAAACTGATTTTTTTCTCATTTGTTAAAGCTTAGATTCCAACTCCTGTTAGTGATAAAATACCAGTCATCATTCTATTAATTTTCTTATTCTTCTCATCTCGAATTGGAAATACAACAAAACATGCCTTTTATCGGATGCTTAAGATGAAGACATTGCTACCAGCCGCAATATTATTTAAAAAATCGTCGCATTTCTTATTTTGAAAACAAATATCACTTTGATAATTAAATTTGTTAGTTAACTAGCTTCCAATTTTAAAGCTGGATCTCCCGTTTTGAGACCTAACTTCCTTAAAAAACTATATCGCCAATAGTATTATATGTTTTAAAAAATATAATAATACTATATTTTCTATACTATATTTCCGGCGTGATCCTATGAAATCGTCGATAAAATCCATGAAATGATATTGGATGATCGGAGAATGAAAGTGCGTTAGTTGGCTCATGCTGTAGGTATCTCAACTGAACGAGTACATCATATTTTACACGAATATTTGGACATGAAAAAACTCTCCGCGAGATGGCTGCCGCGATTGCTCACACTCGACCATAAGCGCAATCGTGTGACCACTTCAAAAGAGTGTTTAGCGATGTACAGCCGTAATCCGAACGAATATTTACGCTGTTTTGTTACTGTGGACGAAACATGGATTCATCATAATACGACAGAGACCAAGGAACAATCGAAACAGTGGGTTGCTAGGTGTGCACGTGGACCAAAGAAGGCCAAACAGAGTCTGTCAGCCAACAAGGTCATGGCCACAGTTTTTTGGGATGCAAGCGGTGTCATTCACATCGATTACTTCAAGAAAGGTAAAGCGATCACCGGTGAATATTATTCAAAGTTTTTGAACAGATTCGATGTCGATTTGAAGCAAAAACGGCCGCATTTGACGAAGAAGAAAGTGCTGTTCCATCAAGACAATGCACGTGTGCACACTTGCCTAGTCACTATGGCCAAAATCCACGAATTGCGAAACGAACTGCTACTTCCTCCAGCATATTCTCCAGATTTAGCCCCCTGCGACTATTTTCTGTTTACAAACCTAAAGAAATGGCTGGGCGGTAAGAGATTTGAGTCGAATGAAAAAGTCATTACCGAAACAAACGCTTATTTTGAGAGTTTTGAGATAACCTATTATTTGGAGGGAATAAAAAAATAAGAAAAACGCTGGACTAAATGTATCGAGCTAAAAGGTAATTATGTAGAAAAATAAAATGTTTGTTTGCCGAAAAAAATTTGTTTTATTCAAAAAGTGACTGACTTAGCAAACCGCCCTCGTACACTAACTGCTGTTCCACCATCCCTTTCTTGTAATATATCACTTCTGTCTGTTGAATAATTAGGAATTGTTCCGTTTATTGAAGGTTTTAGAAATGTTTGTTAGTTTAGCAGATCATCATTTTTATGATCAAGAACTAATTGCCGAATGCACATACATCTTGTTACAAAATATTTCATGACTAAATTATGTGTCCTGACTTGGTTTATCTATGAGAATCTATACTGCATTAGCAAAACATTTCTAAGGGAGCATAAATAAGGTAAGAACCTTAGCTATACAACCGTTCACTTTATTAACTATATTACTGTAGTAATTGAATATTCTTATTCAGTGCAATGATGGGATTGAAAAGGCAGCCATTACAATTAGTTGGATGTTTTCTTTTACAAATAATGCACTTTGGTTTTTGAACAATAGATTTTTTGCACTTAGTGAAATGGTGTTTGTCGTCACTTTAACACATCTGGGAAGAGCCTTCCAGATAATGGCTGCATGGTCATAACGTTGGCAATTGTGATATTGAATCATTCCTGTCTTGGATTTTTGAGCCCCATTTTAAACTTTTAACTCATTTCGTACCTCCGTGTGGTACTCCGTGTCCAAAAAAATGCTGTTTTTAATTAAATGAAAATTAAAACAGAAATAAAATCTAATATATTTGTTATAATATGTGTTCACAATAGTCCAAATATAATTTTCGTAATTTTTGCCGACGCCTTAGTAACAGTTACTTGCCACCAGACAACGGCAAAAAAAGGCGTGTGGTGAACCACACGCTGGGCCCCATTACAATATAATAATGAAACAATGCAATATAAATGTTTGTCGTTAGGGAATGAAATAAAATGAGAGAAATCTCTCTAATGAATATCATACTCTTATAATTAACTTAAAATTGTGTTTTTTACTATTTATAATAGTAATAAATCTATTTTAATATTTAATTGATGGTTGAGGTAGTCGGAATTTGATAGTTTTATACAGAGCTTGTATATGTTTTTGCTTAAAGTTCCGTCGTCAATTATTTACTGTAAATAAAATTATAATGTCATTCCTAAGATATCTAAGAAATCATGAATTATTGCATATTATTGACAGTTGGAGCAAACGTGACACATTAGTACCAAGTGACACTCCGATACCTATTGAATAATAATGTTTTCCACCTGATAATGTTGCTGGTGAATCGGGCAATGAAATGATTGACGATGATGAAATATCAACAAACATCACATGTGCCTTTAGAATTTTGTTCTCCTTTTTTGAATTCCGTTTTTCTGCTTCTGAGAGAGTATTTTGAAGTTGTATACGAATCAAATGCACAAGATAATGGTGGTGTTGTAGAAATGGCTGAGTCGCAACTATTCACATTGCAACTTGTTACTCTTTCTTTTTTTGGATAGTGGATATATCTTTCAGTTTCTGCCATACTCCAGTGCAACTGACAAATACAACAAACAATTGGGAATCTGTACATTTGTTGTAAAGGAATTATTGAGCAATTGTGAGTATCCATTGCAACATACTGTATGATTCCGTTGAACCCATAGTAAATGTGCAACACTATAGCAGAGGTTGGTGTCCCGCAGCCTCAAGTTATCAACAGCTACTACCGACATATGGGCGGCATCGATTTACATGACAATGGAGTTGCTAACTATCGTGTCGGGAATAGAAGCAAAAAGGGCTGGTGGCCATTATGGGTACAGTGTTTAGATAGCGCTGTAGTAAACGCTTGGAAACTAAATTGCTTTGTCGCTGCATTTACCAACACAAAACTGATGCTTCAGTTAGACTTTAAGAATTTCATTCCCAGAAACCTTCTTCTTGCAGAGAATTCAATGTTCTTTACAGAAGCTACAGTTTACGATGATTTGAAAAAGAAAAGTCACAGTGCAGTAGAAGATGTTTATCTTCCGGGAAATTTACCACGTGTAACCGGTATGCACGCTCCCATAAAAACTCAATATCATCACAACTGTATTGTTCGTAAACCAAAAACTAAAGTTTTTATATATGAAAAGTGTCATTTAAGTGATCATGTAGAAAATTGCTTTAAAATTTTCTATGAAAATAAAAAATATTACATTGATCGTAGACAATGACGCAAGTAAACTTATTTCTTTTTACATAATATAATACATATGTAATAATTCAAATATATTTTTTAATTAATAAATATGTGAAAAGCATAAAACATAAAATTTTATACTTACACGTATTTTATACAACTTGAAATGATACTTCACTTACTTCAAAGTAATTAAATACCAAATTTGCAAACAACACATATATATAAATGTTTGTACTATCAAAGAGAGAAAAATGTGCTATGGGTCCCAGCGTGTGGTTGACCACAAGGCACTTTCCCTGAAAACTACTTTTAAAAAAAAATTTGATTTTGCAGGGAATATTTTTAACGTAAAATAATACCTTTCTGAAAATTTCACCATAAAATTCCAAGTTTGAACCTGCCTGGTATTTAATGGCTTAAGTAGCAAATATTTCTTACATTGAGAAGAAAAGTTTCTGTTAATGTAAAAAATGTCACTTCTGTTATATTGACGTTAAAGTCAAATTTAAATTTATTTTATTAAAAAAACATTGTTGTACAAGATTACCATAATCAATCTTATAGAAATAATCTTAATATCACATAAAGTATTTTATTTTCATTAATTTATGTGGACATTATTTTATATTTTGTAATTTCCATAAAATATAATATGTGCTATAGTTTGTTTCAATTTGAATGACATTAATCGCATTTCTCTTCTTTATACACATTGTTCTTAATCGGAAGCTATAAGAAACTATATAAAATGGCACTAAGAAGTTAAGGCCTTGAATTTGGTAAGACATTAGGATTTAGTAATTAGTTGCATTCTAGCGAAAAGCGATAAGGGTTCTATGATGTACCGATCGACATTCGTTGACATTCAATATACGTTTGTATCTGGTTTTCGAGGAGTGTCAAAAAGATGTGGTATCCTGAGAGTTAGTTAATATCTCTACATCACCTGAATAATTTTTTTTTTTTAAAATTTTTATAACATTCTTTAATTAGAATTTTGTCTAGAAAGTTGCTAAAATATTAATAAAATTAGTTAATTTTTTTAACGGAAGTTTTAAGTAAACAAAGAGCTTTACACAATCTTTGTATTATTTTAGAGTTTTGCATTTGTCTGCAAAACATTTGTATGCTCAAGTTAGGTGAGATTAGTTTGAAGTGATGATCTCGATTACCAAAATCCATTTGAGCTCAAATAATATCCTGGTGTGATACTACGGACTGTAACGTCAGAGTTGAGATTGTTTAAAGTATAAAAAGTCTATAATTGTAAAGCAACAACACTTAGTTGAATAAGAGTAGTTAGGATTCTAATATTCAGCATTCTAATAATTGAATTCCCTGAATAATGAATTGCTTTACCATCCTATAAAGTGTAATCGAAAATTGGTGTTATAAAGACTACAAAAATAATGATGCGTAACCAGTCAATTATATATTAGTTAAACTAAATGAATGTAAAATAAGTTGAAAAATTTTTTTTTCACTTATACCACTATGCAGGGGGAATGATAACACACATTTACAAGAAGGTCATATGATGTGGGTCTTTACTTCTAGAAAAAAAATTGAGAACATGTAGTTCTTACTTGTATGTTTAAGAAAATGAAACTTTTAAAATCCATCAATCAATAAATAAGGAAAATAAAATAATAAAAAGTAAAATAGTTCGTAGTATATGTGTGCATGAGTAAAAAATTATCAATTTCTAGATGAAATAAAAAGAGAAAATATTAAATTGAATATGTAAGAAAGTTATTTATTTGAAAAGATATTCCATATTTCACATATATAGAGAACTTTCGCTTAAATGAATACTCAAAATAACGAACCCTCTAAATAAATACCAATCAAATAATTTTAAATAATAAATATAAAAATAATTTTTTACATTAAATGCTTTACAAATTAAGAAATAGCTAGACATTATACCTTTCCTTATACCGAGAGTCTACTGTACATACATACTTTAAACCATATTATTAATTAATTTTCAGTACATTTAAAATAAATCTTTTTTGCTATAAAAAGTATCCCACACTGCTAATTTCGATTTCTCTGGTATATCAATGATATCAATATTTTCGCTTATATTCAATCCTTTGTTTGGATTAGATTTATTAAGAGGTTCCCATACAATAGGTTTGATTTCATCACAATTTGGATCAGACTTCAAGGCAAATGAAGTCCAGACGCTAATCATTCGTTGTATAGTTTTAAATTCCGCCGAATCCGTTGAAAGCTTCCAAGAATGTGCAGCATAGAATAGATAAGACAACTCATCAGCATGTGCAACACCGCGTACTGGATCTTCGCCACAGAATTTCTTTCGATGATAGTTGAAATCCGGAGAGTCAAAATCAAAACGATATAAAAAGGTTGGGGCTGTAGCATATGTAAGACGGGACAATACTGTACGATGAACTCCATGCCAAAAAACTTTATATGAATACAACTGTGATAAATAAACATAAATAAAAAGTAAGTTGTTGGAATAGTTTGATCATACCATTTACATTAACCGTTTACATTAAATTTTAAAAAATCTTTTTTAAAAATTTTTGTTTTTGTACATGCTTAAATAGTACATAATGTACAAATATATGCATATACAGAGGCGAACACAAGGAATAAGTTTTGATGAACAAATTCGCCTAAAATTTTTCAAATCTATTTATACTGCATTCATGGATTGTTTTCATTGAAATGCTTTCATATAAATTTCTAATTAGTTTTTCAAAATCTTTCCTTAAATAATTCTTTGTTTACGCCTCTGTATATATGTATGTTATATAAGTGAGAAGTACGAATTTTAACTTACATCCATAAACATAAACTTAGATTCGGCATTCGGTTCAGTATTACCAAAGTGCAATTTTATTAATTCTGCACTCAAATTTTTATTTTCTTCTGCTGTATGTAAATCTCGTATATTTTTTGGTAGTAGCAGCTCAGGATCATTTTTGATCAAATTCATAGCCATTGGAAACTGTTTCAGGTGTGGATACATAAGTAAACCTTCAAATGAAGTACAACCTATCATAATTGGTATATCATTACTCCATGCTCTCTTTAGCATTTCAAGTGGCTCTTCTGGTATAACACAATCTTCACCAATATATGGCTCTATTGTGGGTCCAAAGGGAAACATTACACCATTTCTATGATCCGCACTGTTAAGTACATTATGTTTAACCAATTTGGTAGCATCAAGAGAACGCAGATATTCCAATATATCCTTATCAATATTTTCACCTTCGTAATCGTGATATTTGGCCAAAAGAAAAGCATAATCTCTAGGTGGTGTGTTAGCCCAAGAATTTAATATGCAACCAGACATTGGTATGGCTTTATGAAAAAGTCCTTTAGTCTGTGATGTGACCATCATGTAATGAGTTGATGCACCTCCTGCACTTTGACCGAATAGTGTGATATTATTTGTGTCGCCATTGAAGTGAGATATGTATTGATTAACCCATTTTAATGCCAATACTTGATCTTTCAAACCGGCATTGCCTGGTACTTGTAGAGTTGGATCTTTTAGACTAAGGAATCCTGAAATATTAGAAAAAGAAATTAAAATCTGTTTCAAAATAATTTTAGACATTTTAGTTACTCATTAAATAAATAAATCTATATTTTGTGTTGTTTTTGACGAAGCGTAAAGCAATTGGAAGCATAAGTTATTGTGCTTAGGTTATAAAATTATTTTTTTTCAAACCTTTGGTATTCCTTTAAAACACGGGGCTCGTAATAACAGTAGGGGACATCCGCAAATCCGTCCCATTATTTATCCATCATAAAAAATTGTCACATGCATCTCTTTGTTGATGTGTATTTTGCAATTTTAATTTTTAAATTAACATTAGTTAATCTATATTAAAATGCGGTTGAAACCTAAAGTTGCGATCCTGTTGTAACTTATCTAATTTTTACTGTCCATTATTGTAATGTATGAGCAAAGTTACTTTCTCATGTTCTTCATAGTATAAGCTAAGTAGTGCGGTTTTAGGTCTAATACATATATATTTATTTAATCTAATATTAATATTTGTATACACATATGTTTACACCTACCTAACGAACACAAGCGATAATTGAAAGTAACGAGTATAACATCTTCTTGCATAAAATAGTCAGGACTGTATAAGTTTCTTGTGGCTTCACCTTCAAAAAAACCGCCACCATATATATAAACCATAACCGGAAGCGGTTTTTCTGATTTTAGCTGCAATATATGTATTATAAAATGAAGCAAAGATTATAATATATGTTAAAGCTCATTATCTTATAAGTTTTTTGTTTTGATATTTGAAAATATAATAATATTTGTTATTAATTTTAGTGCCATATTTGCATTATATAGTATTCGTACAATATATCTTATCTGGTCATACATTTCGTTATAACATTTACTTTTACCTACCCTGCTAACATAAACATTTAAGTATAAGCAATCTTCTGAACCTTCCAATTCACCAGTCAGTACATTTTTTTGCATGGGCTTGCTAGCGCATTTACTACAGTCCTTCACACCAGACCATGGTTCAGCTGGTTGAGGAGATTTAAAGCGCAAATTACCCAACGGTGGTTTAGCATATGGTATGCCTTCGAAGCTGACATAATCATGATCGTAAATAGTTTTGCATTTTGCACCACGAATTTCACCTTGTGGCAACGTTAGTTGAATAGCACATAAATCTCTATGAAGGACCAAATAAATAAATATTAATACATTATTTAATATTAATATCAGAATATACTAATATTACATTAAAAATATTATAAGGCCTTATAATATTAAAAATTCTTACTCTGTCATTTCTGGTTTCTTTTAATTTTCACAACAAAGTCAAGCACTCGGTTACTCTGCTGGCTATCAACTAAAACCGTAAGTATTTGAGGTTCTTGCTCACTCGCAGATTTTATTAAGCGAAAGCTTTGCTTCTCCTTACAGTGATGGCGATATAAATTGTTTGGAATTAATTACAAACATTTTTTTCAAGCAGTAATTTATTATGTATATTTTTTAATATATTAGAGTTATTGTTTCATAATATAAACTAATGCTTTACACAATAAATTATATAAAAATATGACGTATAATATTCATATTTATATTTATTTGATAAAATGATTGCAATCTAAATATTTTTTAATAAACATATATTATTTTTCTAAAGAGAAGAAAGTGTAGTGTTATTGAACATCATGTAAAAATTGAAAGAAGGACCCAGTAAAAAATTAAGCCACTATAACACGGGACCAGTGATGCCCACTACTACTTTACTACTTTAGTAGTGGGCATACAATAAATAAAACAGGAAAAGCTTGGCACACGGTTGACACTTCTGTCAAACCCAGAAAACGACTCCTCTACAATTATATTTAGTGTGGATTCCAAAGACCATTTGAAATACAAATTGACTTGTAAATATCTTTTTCTTTTTTGTTCCGTTAGCTCTCAGTGGAGCATAGGGCCTCAACAATTCCTCTGAACCGTATTCTATTTGGAGCAGCCGTGCAGATGTCGTTCCATGAGTAGCGCACTGATGTTAATTCAGCATCAATTGCCCTTCGCCATGTTCTTGAAGGAGCGCCAGGCCGGCGACCACCCTGCGGGTTTCATTTTAGGGCTTGCTTATCGATACAGGAATTCGACTTGCGTAGTGTATGTCCGATCCATTGCCATTTTCGTTTTTTGATTTCGCTCTCGACGCTTTGCATATTTGTTCTTTTCCACAATTCTGCATTGGAGATGCGTTCTGGCCACCATATTTTGAGTATGCGTCTTAGACATTTGTTTATGAAGACTTGGGTTCGTGAGTTGATCGATCTAGTAAACTTCCATGTTTCGCACCCATACAGAAGTACGGGTACGACATTTGATTTGAATATTCGAAGTTTTGTTCTGATGCTTAGTTGATTTGCAGACTTAGTTTTATTTATACGAGCCGCAACGTCTTCTTCTGCTCCGCTTACGTTAGTGATTACGCTGCCCAAGTATATGCAGGATTGTACAACATTTATATTTATGTTCTCAACAGCTATCAAAGGATCTGTCATAGCGCAGTATCCACTGGACATGACAACCGTTATAGACGTGTTTATTTCCAAACCTGCTGCTCGGGCGTTATGATTTAGGCTGTCTACATTACGTTGGAGATAACTGCTTCTGTGACTCAGCAGACACACATCGTCGGCATATTCGAAATCTTCTAGATGGTGAAAAGGTGTCTATTGTATACCATGGCGTCCATCAAGCGAGTTTCTTAAAATATCATCCAGAGCTAGAACGAAAAGCACTGGTGAAAGGAGGCAGCCTTGCCGAACTCCTGTACTCACGTCAAATGCGTCAGATAGCACTCCGTCGTGCAAAACTCTGCATTTAAATTCAATGTACATGGACTGATGATGTTAAATATTTTTAGTGGCATATCCTTTTGACGTAAAGCAGCCCATATAAAACGTCTGTTCAAACTATCAAAGACTTTTTTAAAATCTATGAATGCTGCATAAACGGAAGACCTAAATTCATTACATTGCTCAAAAACAATTCGGACAGTATTGATTGGGTCGAAGGAGTTTTTCTGTTCCCGTCGAGATTCGTGATAGTAAAATCGAAGTGAGTATTTTGCTGGGTACGGGTAGTAGCGTGATACCTCGGTAGTTGTTACAATCGGATCCATCATCCTTTTTCGGAATCTTAACGAGCACGCCTTCATTCCAAGAAAGTGATACCGCTTCGGTTTCCCAGCTTTTCTGCAGAATAGGAAACCATATAGATGCTGATAATTCTGGATCGCACTTCAATAGTTCGGGATTGACGTCACTGCCTGGATCTTTGTTGGGTTTAAGTAGTTTTATGGCGACGATAACTTCAGATCTTGTTGGTTGGTCTGAAATGACATTTTGAAGATAACGCAAGTTGCTTGATGGAAAATTGATTTTTATATCTTCTTGTAATCCTAAGGGGTTATTGTTGTATCGTTGTTTTTCAACCTCTCAACATCTACATTGTGACCGAAAAGTTTTCGGAAATTCTCATTTAAAATTCGCGCGCTGTATATTTTTCGATATTTTAAGTTTATGTAGTTTGGCAGCACTGTCCTTAATTACTATGCCAAAAATGAGCGCGATCTGTCAGACAGTTCGTTTACGGCAGCTGTTGAAACCAGTTCACCTCAGTAGTGCGTTGCGAAAAAAACAATGGAAAAAAATATTGAACAAAGAGTTTGCATCAAATTTTGTTTTTCGAACGAAATTTCGTGTGCAGAATCGTTGCGAATGCTACAAAAGGCTTATGGGGAATCAGTTTTATCGAAAACTCAAGTTTATGAGTGGTACAAAGCCTTTCAGGACTGTCGTACGACCGTCGAAGACATGCCGCGTTCTGGACGACCTTCGACCTCTACCACCGACGAAAACATTGAAAAGGCAAAGGAAATCGTGTTCAAAAATCCTCATGTGAGTGTTAGAGAGATAGCACGAGAGCTAGGCATCGGTCGTGAGATGGCTCGTTTGATTTTGGTGGACAATTTGTGTATGCGACGTGTCAACGCCCGGCTTGTTCCGATTCACCTCAATTTGTTCAACATTATCAACGATTTTAAGGCCAAACATTCAATAAATACCATCGAACAGCCACCGTATTCACCTGATCTTGCACCGTGTGACTTTTTCCTGTTTCCCAACCTCAAATTACCACTCAGAGGAACGCGTTTTGAATCCATAGAAGACGTAAAACAGAATTCGCAGAGGGAACTCAAAGCCATACCGGAAAGCGCCTATAAAAAATGTTTTGATGATTGGAAGAAACGTTGGCATTTGTGTATCGCTTCTAATGGAGCATATTTTGAAGGAGATAAAATAAATATTGATGAAGATTAAGAATTTTGCGTTTTATTTAAAATTTCCCGAAAACTTTTCGGTCACAATGTATTCTTTTATTTGTCACTTGTACAGCTCTCTTTCGTGTTGAAATTTTTATAAGCACTTTGCCAACCTCCATATAGTGATCACTGCCTATCTCAGCACCGCTCTTCACACGGACGCCCATCGAGCATTAAATAGGAAGTGGTCTATTTGATTCTTTGTTCTCTCGTCTGGAGAAACGCAAGTTGCTTTGTGCGATGTTTTGTGTGGGAAAAGGGAGCCGCCAATTACCAAATTAGCCTCGCAGCATATCTCGATAAGTCTGTTTCCATTGTCTTTTCGGGTACCCAGACCGTGACACCCCATGTATTTTTCTAAATGGGTTTTCACAGCCAATCTGTGCGTTAAAATCTCATAGCACTAAGAGAATATCTCCGTTTGAAGAATACATATTTATACACCTTTCAAGTTGATCATAGAAATCGTTTTTGCATTCATCGACTTGAAGTTCTGTGGGAGCATAGCAGTTGACAATAGTCATATTACGTGCACGCGTTTTGAGTTTGAGGACTATTATCCTTAAGCAGCCTGAATGCCATTCTAATATCTCATGAGAAATCTTTGATGATATAAGAAATCCTACTCCATTAACATGAGCAGATCCTTCTGGTTCGCTTAAATAAATAAACAAATTACCTTTGTGTTTGATCGAGCCATTACCATTCCACCTGCATTCTTGTATCGCCAAAATGTCGATTTTATAGCGAGCCATCTCGTTTCTAAGTTGTTCGAGTTTACCAGCCTCATTTAAAGTGCGTACATTCCATGTTGCGACAGCTGTTATTATTTTCATACCTATTAAGCATCTTCTATCAATACGATTCAAATTTGTTTTGTTGTTGGTTTTGTTCATCTCGAAACTATCGGTGTTATTAAAGCATGGGTTTGGCACCTCCAAATCGAGTGCAGCGAGGATTACTCGAATGTCGATTACCCCTTGGAGAAGTTGTTCCGTTTTATTTTGAATCCATGCTGTAGATGTTTCGTTGATTTGATGTACGGATTCACATAAGCGGTGGATGATAGGTCCATGGCCCAGCGACATTCCGGCGTGGTACACGTTTATATAGCAATCCGCTTGCTACAAGTCCGACGACCGCTTTCAGCCGCACCTTACATGATAAACAGACGCTGAAATAGAAACACCATTAGAAACTTGGCGCCGTTGACCATACTGTTGATTCGTCCTCCGCCTTGAGATTCTACGCTGTCCATTTTTGATAACGGAGTTTGCTTCTGCCTCCCATTTGGTCATTAGTGTGCCCCTTGACACATTCAATTTTATAATTAAAGTCAGATAGTATGAAAGCCCATCGTTGCAAGCGTGCAGCTGCCATGATTGGTAAACCTTTATTCTCACCAAAAATTGATATTAAAGGTTTGTGGTCTGTTTTAAAAAAAAAATTGTTTCCAATCAAATATTGTTTGAGTTTACTTACACAAAATGCTATGGCCAATGCTTCTTTTTCTAGTGTGCTGTAATTTTGCGCAGCTTTTGATAAAGGTCTAGACACGGATGTAATTGGTTTACTTTGTCTTCAGAAAACTTATGCGATAGTATGCCAGCTACAGCTTTATTTGATTCATCTGTTGAAAGGACAATTGGCAATTTAGGATTGAAGTGTACTAGAACTTTATCCGAAGTTTGTTTGCTTTTAGTAAATGGTAGCAAGGAATTATTTTATCTGCAAATTTGTTAATGAATTTCGAATAATAATTTTCCATACCGATTAGTACTCTTAACTCAGACACATTTTTGGAAATTGGTGCTTTCAAAATAGATTCCGTTCTTTCTATATTTTTAGTAAGTCCATATTTATCAATTTGTTTGTAATTTCTAATTTGTAAGTTTGTGATTTACAAAGGTTACGAATATGTTCTGAAGTGTTTCTACCAGAAACAGTGATGTCATCTTGATATACAACTATGAAGGGAATATTACATGAAAGATTTTCCATGGTCTTTTGGAAAATAGCTGCTGCTGTTTCAATACCAAAAGGTAAACGTTTTATTTTTAGGGTGCCAATATGTGTTGACCAAGTACATAAGAAATGAGATTTGTCATTAAGTACAAGTTGATTGTACGCATTTAATAAATTGAGTTTTGAGAATAGTTCACCACTTGAAGTGACGCAAAAATTTCATCAATACGTGGGAATGGATATTTAAAATCGGATAGATGTCGGTTGATCGTGACTCTATAATCGCCAAATATTCTAATTTCACTATTCGGTTTTTATATGAAAACTAACGGTGTAACCCATTCTGCATTACTTATTGGTTCTAAAATATCTTTAGCAATTAATTCTCTTAAATTACTTTCAACTTAACTTTTCCACGCTAATGGGACTGATCGTGGTTTAAAAAAAACTGGTTTGAAATCTTTTTCCATAGGTAAAAAAATTCTTTCTAATTTCTATATACCTACTAATTTCAGTCATTTTGAATTTGTTCAATAAATATGTCATATTGACTAGAATTATTAATGGAATTTACTTGTATAAGTTGAAAATCAAAGGCTCTTAAAAAATTCCTACTTAATAAGGGAGAATTATTATTATTAGTAACTACTTACTGTATTTGTTTTTTTTTTCATTGTACTCAATATTTTCAAAATAGGTATTTACCCAGTACCTTAATATGATTACCATTGTAATCAACATATGGATCGTTACAATTTCTAAGACTTACAGTTTTGTTGTACTTGTTTAAAATGTGTTTAGGTATTAAACTGCATGGAGCTCCCGAATCGCAAACAACATCCATCGAAATTTCGTGAAGTTTAATTGACACCCAGTACAATTCAGTTGAGTCCTCACCTTTATGTTTATTATTAATATGATCATTCACTTTTATATTAGATAAAATGAAGTATCTAATATACTTATTAATACAACTCCAATTTTTTTTTTACAAACTGACGCTAGAATATTTTTGCAACTCCCATTTATTTTGTTATGCTAAGTTTTACATTATTATTAATTATTAATGTAATTGATGTTTTCACCATAACTTTTTGACGCACTGGACCTAAGCTCTATAATAAGTGTTTTTCTAAGTGCCTGTTCAATTGTGAGTTTCTCATTTTCCTCACATAGTCTTTCAAAAATTTTGTTGTCCATGAAGAATTGATTCAGAATAAAACCTGATAAGTTCTCTCCAAACTTACATGCTAATTTTTTACTCTTGCAAACCACTCTTATGCCGTTTCTATTTCTGACTGCATTGCACTGTAAAAGTTTTAACGCTCTTTAAAAATTAGAGTTGGTGGAGTATACTGTGTTTTTAAGATTGCACACAACTCTTTATACGTTTTCGATATAGGTTAGGTGATGCTGGACTGTATAAGAGTTATGCAATAGTCCATATGAAGCTGATCCGATATTTTTCAATAAAGAACCTTTTTTATGTTCTCTTCCGTGCAATTAATCTCAGCAAAATGAATTTCCAAGCTCTTTTTGAAGCGAAAATTCAGCAACACACTTTTGCTGGAATATATTTGGCGCGCTAGCGGTTTTTGCTGGTTCCTTTTGCTGCATCATCTATTTATTTTAAATATATGAATATAAAACATATAGTACTTATATATATACTTTCATATATTTTAATACATATTGTTATTATTAATTTAATATATCTTTATTTGAATTTATTGTTTTCGCATTTACTGATAGGCGCCTTTATTGAAATTTTTACACTTTTAATTTTTTTTTTGTTTACAAATCTCCTCTCCACTTTTTTATTTTATATTTGCTAATATCTTTAATTTTAGTTCTTCTTTTTATTCCTATTACTTTTCTTTTCGTTTTCATTTATTCCTCGTCGCTAATTATGTGGTGTATTGAGTCATTGTATTTAAAGACTAACTTTATTCAAATTCAAATTCTTAAGACTAGTTTATAATTTTATATCAAAGCACAAGAGAGCGAAAGCTTCTATATATACTTAACACTTTCCAAGGGACATAATAGCATTTTTAATTGCTATGCGCCTATTTAACTAATGTGGGTTTGTCACAATAATACTTAAAAGATGCATTGACGTGGTGGAATAGCTCCTAAAATCTATCTATCTATCAAATCTTTGTATATTCATAAAAAATTTTTTTAACATTACCATACAAATTACAACAATGCATTGAACTTGTATAGACTAAGAGAGACTACAAAGCCGAATGTACTAGAAGAATTAGAAGCTTTGCATCTTTGCACTGGACAATAATTATGTCCAGTGCAATAATTATGGATCACGACTGGCCCAAATTCACTTAATCAATATAAATACGAGAGCAAATGGTTTGTTTTACACAAACCTGATCTAAGGCCAAACTAATTGTATTGTTTTATATAAAATTTGACTGGTTCTAAATTATATCATTCGGATCACTTTGTTAACACTGACAAAACTTTTGACTGATCGACTACATTCACGTTTCGAATATAAATTAAGTAGTAAAATTCCTTCTGCATCGCGTTAGGGAAACGTCCATATCGGTTTGTACAGAAAAAAAGTGTCAAATGAAAAGTAATTATAAAAAATATTAACAAAATAACTTTTTTTATTTATGTTGATTATAAATAATGGTTTAAATAGTACTCTTTTTATTGTAAGACAGAAACCATCATGACCAAATTTATTACAAATTAGATAAAAATTCTTCATAGAAGAAAAGAAAAGAGTAAAACCAGCTTTCCAAAACAGTTTAAAAATTATAAATGAATAATAGTTATTAATTATATTATATTTAATTATATTAATTTTCTTGGCATGAAGTTAGGGATTTCGGTTATTACTGCTATGTACATAAAATATCAATAAAAAAAAAATTTTTAATCTCCACTCATAATTACAGCTTAAGATTTCTTCTTGAGTGTATCAGTTCATCGAAATCACAGTGTGCAGTTATTCATAACTGCCAGGTGTGTAAGATATATGATATCTACCAAACCAGTACGGTATTAGTCAAGATCCAAATTAAAGTCTTAATGGCTACTTGATTATTTCACATGAGGAATATTTTCTTGTGTCCTAAATTTTCTGATTGTAGATTTTTACAACATATTTTTAAGACGTAGATTTCGGTTTGAAATACTGAAGCCATTGAACTGAGATTGGTGAATATTAGGCTGCCGCAGTTATAGACTTATTAGTCCGATCCCTGTTCAATTTTGAATCTTTCTATATACCACACAATATCGTTGCTAATAGTACTGGTTTTGTAATCCACCACATCTCTCTGTCTCGTATAATAGTATTATATTTCCTGTTGATCATGTAATTTAAAATGGCATCTTAAAATCTTCAGGTTATTTTAATTTGGAGAAAATGAATAAATTTCCTTTATGGTATATCTTTTGGCCAGTAGTTCATTATAATAAAGCCTCTATATGATAATTGATGCAACTAGCCGCACTTTGAGATTTAATATTTTAGGCAATATATCTAACAGACCTTTGTCGCGGTTGTAGCTCTGAGGACGAGGAGGAAACTCTGATGCATCTCATGTGTCAGTGCCCATTTTTAGCCAGAAGAAGATCAAAAATCTTGGGGCCCTTTTTCTGACCGATCCGACTGAGCTGTCATTCCACAATGTGAGGGACCTGGCCAGATTCACAGAATTGTCGGGTTGGTTTTCCTTCACCTAATGGGGGAGGCGTTGCCTCTCTGTTGGGCGTTGGTCGTATACTGATCACCTTATCTATATACGAACATCGCTTTTTCCATGTGATGCCACAACGGGCCATTATTTGTGCTCAAGTGGGCTTTCTTGGTAAACAAGGCCGCCACTCCAACCTACCTACCTATCTAACAGACTATTTAACTATTTATAAGTTAATAGTTATGCCATAGATTAATAGATACTGAACGTAAATTTTGAATAACCAATACAATAAAATCTTATCCTTTTTACTACAATTATATAGTTTTGTATTTATTAGGAAGACTTTTCTCCTTTTATATTATGATATCGCAGTGGATCTTTCATCTATATAGAATGACAGCTGAATATATTTATCATAAGGATTCCAGCCAACACTATCCTTAAGAATTGTCTTCAATAACATTTGTCTCTTTTGAAGTGAGAGTTATTACCACTTATTTCAGTTAAAATGAATGTGTCTTACAATATATCTAATCAACATTTCTAAGAGAATGTGTTCTGTTACACATATATTTATTAATATTGATTTTATGTATATTGCTATCGAAACCAATAATATATTCAAGTTAAAAATTGTTTAAAGTTAAATCGTTTAAAGTAACATTTATTGAATCATTCATAATTGATTAAATAGGCTTAACTGTAATTCTAATAAAAACTGCAAGATTGTCGGAATTAAAACCAATATTTAAATTGATAAATCATTTGTTTATGTCTGCATAACGTTGAGTCCTTTTGGTTTGTATGATAATAATTGATATAAAGAATTCTTGAACATTTGGTTCAAATTTTTTAGTTGTGTAACCTGTTTCATTTCTGCCATATGGTGGTATTCTGCAGGAAAATCAAGGTCGTGAATTCAGACTTGTTTTATTTTGATATTAGCCTATCAATTATGAACTAAGATCTGAAATTGAATCTGTGGATGGGCTACGGCTTCGGGTGTTATCTGAAGATAATGCAGAATTACTGCACAGAACAAATCTTTTGCGATTGTTTTGTCTAAAGTTTTCTGATGGTAAACATTCTGTAGGACCTAAAAGTAATGGATAATGAATTTGTTTAATAATTATGTTAAATATGTTTTTTAAAATTATTGTACATACGGTGGCCAGGCCGACTTTGGTGGACATTTGAATTACACGGTTCGTCAAAATAATTGTACATACGATGATCAGCTTGGCTGGGTGGTACTGTTGATACTAGTTCAGCATTCAAAGGTGGTGAAGTATGAGCATTGTCATTGGATACCAGATGTGGTAGCGCTATATTGGGTCCACAGTGTGTATTAGGATTAAATTGATTATTAACACCTGGTGTTTGGTCAGCGCGTGCAGATGGTAAACGCGAACGATTACAAGGAGCAACGTGGTGATTAGAATTATGGCGTCTATGAAATTCATTAGGCTGAAAATTCTGCAACGCAAATATTCCTCCAACTTCCCTTCTACTTCGTCTTGCATCAACATTTAATTGCGAAGAACCATAATTAATATGACCATTAATTGCCGGAATGTTTTGTACGGAATATTGCGGTGCAGCGTATATATTTAACGGTTGAAGCATAAGTTGAGGACGGCGTCGCAATGGTACTCCATATCTAACTTCTAAATGTGATGGACTAGGACTACGACTAGTTCCTAGTGGTAACGGTGGTGGACTTACATGTTCATAACGACGCCGCCTGTCAGGTCTGTTGTCAACTTTGATTTTATGGTCTAATTTCATTCCGTCGTCTATTGGATAGCTATTTTACTGTTTTTAAAAATGAATATGATATTGTTTTGAATCTGCAATGAAAAGTTTTGCAATTTTTATAAGTTTTTGTATTGAACTTGAAACTTGAAGTTTTAATTTAATTTTCGTATCATTATGCCTAATATAACACTTCGTTCAATAATGTGTGTGACTAACTAATTAAAACACATTTTTTTGCCAAAATTCGTTTTTATTCATCAACGTAGTCCCCTTTTAGGGAGATACAATCATTCCAACGCTTTTGCAATCTTTCGATACCGCCTTTGTAAAACGATTTTTCTTTGCCTTTAAAATAGGCGTTAGTTTCGGCGATTACTTCATCATTTGAGCCAAATCTCTTACCACGGAGCATCTTTTTGAGGTCTGCGAAGAGCCAGTAGTCGCTGGGGGCCAGATCTGGAGAATACGGTGGCTGCGGCAGCAATTCGTAGCTCAGTTCGTTCAATTTTGCCATCGTTTTCATCGACTTGTGACACGGTGCATTGTCTTGGTGGAACGAAACTGTTTTCTTCGCCATAACAAATACCAATAACAAATACCAATAATAAATGCTTCTTTTTGATGGAACAGAGTCCGAATAATGTTTTTCAAGCCATTCCTGGCATTGAACAGTATTTTTTTTTATTAAAAAACAATGGTAAATCAGCACACGGAATTGCTTTGAATTCATTTTTTTATAAAAACTCAAAAGTAGCGTCACTTAAAGCACTGTAACTTGTAAACAAATGGTCGGATTAACATATAATTTTGACAGTAAGCCTAAAAAGGTTGCCACTTTCGAAAAAAAATATTTATTTAGTATTAGTGCCGCCATCTATGTGTCAGTCACACACATAATTGAACGAAGTGTTAGAGATAATGTATATAAGATTATGTATATTAAGCATTTATAGGTAGAATAAACATGTAAAATATATTGATGATGATAATTGGTTAGCAGTGTAGCCATAACATATTCTTGCTACCATCGTCAATATATTTTATATACATACATAAACACGTTATATATTACAACTGATAAATAGTTTTTATGCAGGCTCAGCAAATTTTACAAATTTATTTTGAAGCAAAATTTTTACATTTTTTTTACAACGTACTCACCAATAGTTGTTTTCTGGTTCAAATTTGTTTTCTTTCCACAATTCCACAATTGAATTTAGTTAAATGTAGTTATTTTTATAATATTTAATACATTATTCCGCACAACTAAATTTTATTATCCGTTTTAATAAAAACAAATTGTATTCTGATGCAATTTAAAAAACCTTTCTAATATTTGACAGCTTAAAAATAAGTGTTAACTCAACAATTTTAATAAAGTGGCAAAAAAAAGTGATGGTATACCAGTTTTTACACGGTGTATCGTTACGAGTATATGGAGTTTACATTAATTACTTTGCTAATGGAAATCGACTTTGAGTACAAAACCAGCAACTAATGTCGGTTTAGCCATATAACACATGGCTCAATAATTTCTTTACAACAAATGCACCGATTCCTAATTGTTTGTTGTTTTTGTCAGTTGCACTGGAGTATGGCAGAAACTGGAAGATATACCCACTATCCAAAGAAAGGGTTCATAGCTTATAACCGAAACGTATTGGTTTTACAAGTTCCAATGTAAATAGTTGCGACTTAGGCATTTCTACAAGACCACCATAATCGTGTGCTTTTGATTCGTATACAACTGCAATAGTATATAGATACCATTTCACAATTAGACACGCGGAATTCAAAATAGAAAAACAAAATTTTAAAGTCGCATGTAATGTTTGTTGATATTTACATTATTATTCAATAGGTAGTGGAGTGTCACTTGGCACTTATAAGTCATCTTCGCTCCAATTGTCAATAATATGCAATAGTTCCTGATTTCTTGGATATCTCCACTATTGCGCAACATACAATTATGAAGTATATACCAAATGAAAGACTGTTGAATTTTTTATCTAAATAGAAAAATAACTTAGAAAAATTACGTGTTCCATATCCGGTTTGGACCTCTCAGCATGGTTGCTATCTTGGCGAGGGTTTGCTAATGCCAAGCAACGTTGCTGTGGAAAGCTGGATTGTTATTAATGAATTAATTTTAAAAAATGATTTATTTGTTGTACTTTTTCAGACATATTTAATATTTGAAATGAAATATTGAAATGATATTTACTTATTCTTTTTCTGGAACATATTTCTTTTACTTTATATAACAAGCTTCAGTTTGATTTTGACTGAAATTTCATAGAATTGTACTAGTTTATTTTCGCTGTTTTTTTGCTTATGATAGCTTAATTAATTTTCTATTAGGAATGTTAGCGTGCAAATTGATTCTTCATGATTTTTCTAATAATAAACATTTTGATAAATCGAAAGATTTTTTAAAATTCTATAAATATTACGCCTTCTCATTCAGTTTATCTTATTTTTTTTTTTTAAATAACAACTTTCCGATATTTTTTTATAAATAAGAACCCAGGTTTTCATACAAACGTTTCTAACTTAATGCTAACAATATAGTAAAAAAACCGATAACTATCAAAATAAAAACCTGAAATGAAGATGTAAACGCATAACGTTTGGGAACTAACTTTAGCAAAACTTGTTGACTAAAGTTTGTAATGTAAATATAGCATTATATAGCGTTTCACATCACAATGTTCAATTTTGTACTTTTACTTGTATTTAGACACACTTTCATTGTAACTAATAGTACGTTTACATTATGTGGTAGCCAGTATATCGATAACAATAAATCGTGACAATTATACAATTCATTAGAAAAAAATCATATGCTTTCAATCCCTAACTGATTAATGCTTCTACGTACTTGCGCTTATGAAATGATTCATTTCTTCTTGCACCTCATGGATTTTGCTTTATTATAAAATAAATAAAAAAACAGTAATTTCTTTAAAAATTATAATATAGTTTGAATTAATCCAAATCAAGTAAGTTATCTTTGAAGGCTCCCACAAGCCAGATAGTCATTTCTAAATAATAAAATAATAAATAAAATCTATTAGAAGTTAATGATCCGTTAATGTTTACTATTATAACTAAACTGTTACTATTGTTACTATTACTATTATTATTTTTCTATATCATAAAAATAAATAACGATTTTAAGGCACTTGCAGTGTTATGCTACGTTTACATTGTGCGATTAAGAGAAGTAAGTTAAGTTAATTTGCATTCTTTATCTAAACTGTTAACATTATACGTTGCAGATTAATTACGACGTTTCTCCCATACAAAAGATTGTTTTGTATGGGAGAAGTGCTTCTTCCACGAACAACTTCCATTGGATTTGGCTCGTTTTCGAAGACCCACTCGGTCGATTGTTGTTTTGTTGCGGGCTCATCCGCATAGATCCATGATTCGTGACTTGTGACGATTTTATAAACGTCTTTTGAAACACCGCGAACGTATTTTTTCAACATATCTTTGCACCAATCGACACGAGCCTTTTTTGGAGCGATTGTCAAATTGTGCGGGATCCAACGAGAACAAACGTTTTTCACGGCGAGGTGTTCATGCAATATCGAATATATGCTGGTGGAACAAATGCCCAAGGATGTCTCTATCTCACGGTATCTGACGATCTTGCGTTATCAGTTCACACACGGCATCAATGTTCTCTGACACAACGGCCGTTTTTGGACGACCTTCATGGAATTCGTCGTTGAGCGAGCATCGGCCACAACTGAATTCATTAAACCAGTTTTTCACAATGCTATAGGATGATGCTTCATCGCCCTACAAAGATTTAAGTTCATCAATGCTTTCTTGTGATAATTCAAGTCGAAAGTTGTGAAAAATGACCGTACGAAAATGCTCACGTGGTAATTCCATTTTTGGGCCGAGATGAATTCTTCAAGTCTCTGTAAATATAAACACGTTCTGAGTGATGTTATGCTAAAAAATGTCAACCTTTTCAATGGAAATGTCAGATTGCATCTGGCAACACTTACTGTTGCCTAGGCCAGAAATATATATAGCAGCTCTCGTATTACATTGTAAGATAACTCCTATTTTTAATGAGAGAAGATTTTATTTTTTTTATATAGATCTCCACCAATTATACTTTTAGGAAATCGTGTCAAATGCGAATTTTTAACACATACTCCAAAATTGTTCCGTTTAACATAATTTTTATATTATTGTTTTGCTTATAATTTATTTAGTATTTATTAATATTTATTTTAGTATTTAATTAATTTATTTATACTGAATTAACGTTTCTTATGAACAGTAAGACTGAGACGTGAAAAATGACTCAGTCACCATTGATGAGTGGGTTTTAAAAACTATATATTACTTTACTTTCCGAAGCAAAATATTTACTTTATTTTGAAGTATTTTTATGGGTAATTAAAAGAAATATAAATTTTATTGAAATAAAATTAACCACAAAGATCAACTGTATTTGTGGTTAATGGGACAAAATTCATTACGTCATATTGTACAGATCGCTATACTATGCTTGAACGTGATTATAACGTTTAAGCTGCCGATATAAACTTATCCAATAAATAAGTATATAGCTAAAAATCTTTAATTTTATTTATATATACAAATATGTACATAATTGGTAATAATACATAATTATTTTTTTTATTATAGGTAAAAAATTAAATGAGAAGGTAAGCACGTTTAAGAATTTTTGATAATGAATAGTATTTAACATTCATTAAAAACAGTTTCTTGAAAATTCTTTTATTAAACTTGAGGATTAATTTAATAATAGTATATATGTATACACTTTTAGTAGACAATAAATACTCAAATACGAAAATTTTTCCACAAATATGGTTTTAATATAATTTAATATATAATATTATACAAAAACATTGAATGTGGTTTTCCAGAAAATCACAACATATTTTTGAAAAAGTTTGAATTAAATAAAATAATAATAAAAATAGTAATAAAAATTTTAAAGAGCACTCAAATAGAATAACAGATAAATACGCTTTAAACTACCATAAAAGAACTAAACTGTAATATTAAGATCGTCATTTTGGAAACATTGAGGTTTTTATGATTGAATACTTTTGTCTGGTAAACTTTTGGTTACAACCTGCATTTTGGTTATACTGTAAATGGATACCCTCTACATGTGATTATTTTTACTTATTTTGCCGTGACATTACTTATCAAATATCGCTTTAATACTAAAAATTATTTCTTATAGTTATAAGCAACCTGCAATATATCAGAATAATTATTTATGAAATTTATTTATTTATTAATTTATTTATTTGTTTTATAACTTGGTTTTTTCCATAAAGCTAGAATAATATGTAGATATCACTGTAATTATCTTCTTCATTGTAATTCTTCATTATAATTTTAATAACTAAACATTTTAATCTAATCAAAATCTGTTGAATATATAATTTGAGATAACATGTATAAGTCACAAATTATGTATAAGTATAAAATATTTTCCTTTCATTTATCGTAATTCATAAAATATTTAATAAAAACTTGAAACTGATATTGTAAATAAATGTGTAGAATTGTGATTTTTAATAATATTAAAGACATAATAATACTAGCAGAAAAATAGAAGTCTTTAGTTCTCCAGAAAAAATAAATGACTATAATGACTATTACAGGACTATTAATAACCCATTAAATGAGTAACAGTTACCATTTTTGATGAAGTTATGTTTAACTAAAAATCTTCGAAAAATTTTTCTGTTAATGTATAATATATAGTAATATTATTGAACCATAAATGAAATGTATACATGATCATAAGCAATTAGAGCGTAGAGACAGGTGGAGTTGTCAAAACCCGTAAAATGCGGAAACCTGTAAAATGTTCATTATATGCAGATGCAGAGCGTCGTTTATCTGATAAAAGTAGAATTTAAAGATTCCTTGTCTTCATCCATCTAAAGTTATTTATATAAAAAATTATTTTGTTTAAAGCATGCGAAAAATTCGCCAATTTTTTTTCGTTTGTAGATCTCAGTTATATAAGTTGTAGTTCAATAATTTTGTGTCCTGGTAATGCCTTGTAAGTACATTGTTAACAGTATATGAATTGTTTAATACTTAACACTTTTTATAAATATCGAGATTTAGTTCTTCAAATGCCAATATCTTATTGCTTTACTGAAATTTTTTGTAACGAGTTTTTTAAATTAATATGTGCCGTTTTGTTATAATCGGCATCCGAGATTCTCTATCTACTGGTGTATAAGTGGATGATAATAAATAATAATACTAAATAATGCTGCTAAATAATAATAATATCAGTTTTTGTTCTAATTGTTATCCCAGCTAGAAATTTTTCTGCACAGACATGTTATCAGAAAATCTATCTTCACTGTTGATGTCAATGACGTTTTCATTAGTCATTGATATTCTCATCATTGATGTTTTTATTAGTGATGTTTCTTTTGCACTACAGCGATCACTTGCCAAAGCGATTATAATGGAACATATATACAGGAAAATCAATGCTTTGAAATGACTTTATAACGTTGTTGTTGTTGTAACCCGCTGGGAGGCACTTGTGAAGTTCCTTTGGGAGGTGTTGAACGGCACTTGGGCGTCGCTGGCGACGAGTGGTTCCAGGACGCATATTGTCATAAAATTAAGTTAATTGTAATTCCAAAGACTTCTTGGATGTATACCCAATTCAATTGTTGAAATGTATTTGTCCAGAAGGATCAATTATACAAACTTTTTTTCTATACATTGGTTTTGCACGCTTTTTGAAAAGTATTCAATATAAACCGAGAGTTACTAATTTTTATTATTAATTTTATAAGTATTTATAAAGACTTATACCAGAAATTACATTACGTTTTTAACAGAGAACAATTCATATTCCATTTTTAATTATGGGACATCAGTATTATTCTCCCATACAACGGCATTCAAAATTCTTAAGTGAAGAGGTTTATGTCACATAAGGCAATGGTGGGTTTTAAGAATTATGTGTGTAGTATTATAAGTAAAGTTTCAAATTTTCTTTATATGAGTACATTACCTCACGGAGTCTGGATTGTAGACTCCAGAAGTATTTATTTATTTAAAATATATTTCTTTTTGAACTTCACTTTATTGGTAATTTTGCTGTTATGGATAACAAATATTAATTTATTAAACAATCGTTTTACAATTGTCGAAATTTAGCTCGCATTTGGAATAGTGATTTAAAATAGTGATAAATTCAGAAGTTTCACTTTTCCAAGCAAAGTAGAAAGAATTCTGAACTGTGATTATTGGTAAAAATATGATAAATGTTGCTTTTTCTTTTTGTCGGTTGAACCCCAGGAGATAATACAAATCGCTATCAGAAATTGTATAAATCCTACAAATATAAAAAAAACTATTACAATTATAATGTAAAGCCGTTGTAAACTATTGCTGCATTCACATACATATATCACAACATTTAAATAATGAAACTAATTACAATTAAAATTAATTTGGTGATATTTAACATCATATACACTCCAAGTAGTTTAGTTTTTAAATAATATTCGTTAAAAATTAGGTCCTTTTATAAGTATAGTTTCATCATATATATGATGGCGGATCTAAAGATTGAAACTATCAATCTGAGTATACTCTTTAGGTCCGCCATCATATATATGATGAAACTACCATATACTTATAAAAGGACCTAATAACTTTTTAAATTATATAAAATATGTTTATTTAAATTATGAATTATATATATAACATAATTATTACATATTTATATTGTATAATAAGGTATGATGGTTTTAAAAATTATTTTAAAAATCCTAATGAAGGTCATTTCTTTACGGATAGTTTAAAAATTGGTATACTGTTTATTTCATAATAAAGAACAGATCTCATTGTATTGTCTGTATACTAAATAGTAGTATTTTAATAAATTAAATCGGTATGATGAATTAATACTCAGCTGCTTTATGTATTTTAGTTAAAAGTAAAAGTAAGAGTGAGATGTAACATGAGATCGGGAATCGAAGATTGGTATAAATGTATTGTAACAAATAATATATTCACTGTAACATAAATTACAAATAATAAAAGATTAATATTTGATGTGCCTTATAAACATAATATTATTCTATTTTTGTATTGTGTTGCACCATAACTACACGAATATATTATTATTAATATTACACGAATATATTATTATAACATTCGTGAACTTAAATATTGTTTTTCATTACCGTTCAGTAGATATTGATTTGAAACTTTGTTAATACACAAACAAAAATGTATAAAAGAATACTTGTCTGCATACTTTTTCTTTGTGCTCAAAACTTCAGCTTCTGGATCTTTGACACTGTCACGGCCTAATAACCATATTATGGTTACAAAGCCATCCCCTCAGTGTATTGTTCAATCACAATACCTGGTGCTTTTAGTAATACAATAGTTGTTACATACGATTAGCTACATTTTTGATTTCATAGCATGCCTTGCTGCTACAAGCACCCTACGCCAAATTCTCAGCTTTGGTAATTCCGGTAATCGTGTAAAAATAAGATCATCAGATATGTTAAGACATTTCAAGTTTCTATAATCATAACAGTGAGTTGATAACCATTTCACTTCCCTAGTTAATTCGTTGTTTGGATTACTATCATAAGCAAACATTGTCCACATTGAAATCATACGTTTTATGGTTTTGAATTCTAAGCTTTCTTCTTCCAGTTTCCATGCTTTCTCACTATAGAACAAATAAGAGCGATCATCCGTATGAGCCACTCCCCTCATAGCGTGACCTAAATATTTAATACGTTGTAGATTAAAATCCGGCGAATCAAAATCAAACCGGTATAAAAAAGTGGGTGTGCGAAGCTTAGAGCGTTCTTCAACTGTCTTGTAAGTACCGTTTAAAAAAAACTTAAATGATAGTAACTGAAAAATAAAGAAGTTAAGAAAAATATGTGTGTTAATTTCAGCTTCATTTAGTAACTTACTTCGCAGTATCTTAAAATGTTACTTAATGATATCTCCTCTCTGCCGAAATGCATTTTTTTGATGCCAGCAGCAATTTGTCGCTGTGTTTTCAAATCAAAACATTGTCGTACCTCCTCAGGCAATAAATATTCTGGATGTACATGTAGCTCGGATAGAACATCTGCTGGTACATAACGGTAGTAAAGCAGCCCTTCAAACGATGTATTGCCTATTATTATTGGTATTCGATTACCCCAAGCTCCGCTCAGCATATCCCGTGGATGTTTTGATATGATGCATCCAGCCCTATGATATGGTTCTATTACTGGACCGAAAGAAAACATTTTGCCAGCCAAATACTCTTCTTGTGTTAATAAGTTATGACGCACCAAATCATAAGCATCGAGATTTCTAAGATAATCTAAGACGTTCTTATCGTTATTCTCGCCAGTAAAGCCATTCAATTGAGCTAAACGAAACGGTGCATTTTCAACGGTATTTATTGCCCATGGTGCTAATGCAGTACCAGACTGCAATATTGCTTTTCGGAAACGACATTTTGCTGCGGGTGCCATCATCAAAAAGTGTATCGATGCCGCACCAGCACTTTCGCCGAACAATGTAATATTGTATGGATTGCCACTGAATTTGCTAATATTGTGTCGAACCCATTCTAAAGCCATTAATTGATCTCTTAAGCCAGCATTTCCCGGTATATCCAGTTCGGGGTCTTTCAAACTCAAAAATCCTATAATATTATAAATATTATTATTTATCTGCTACACATACCTTGTATAAATGTATTTAATTCTTTTTGTTAACAAGATTCTATTAATAATCATAAGAAAGCGATTTTGTGTGCTACTAACTACTAGGGGAATTACAAAATGTTTAACAAGTAATTGGGCTCTAATAATCATAAGAAGAATCGGTAAAAGTACATGATACCAATTAATGCGAAATTAAAAAAATAATTAAAAATCATTCATTAACTTAATAGAAGTACAAAAATTAATGCTTAAATAAGTATATTACTAATTTAATAAACAATTAATTACACTTACCCAGTGCACCCACACGATAGTTAATGGTTACGAGTACTACCTTCTCCATCATAAAGTAATCAGGCCCAAAGTTTTGTCGACTTGAAGAACCACTGTCAAATCCTCCACCATGAATGAAAAGCATAACAGGAACTAAGTCATTTGACCCAATCTAAAAGTTATATATTGTATATCAAGATATAAATGCTATGGCACTTACGGCTGTTTTACATAAAGGACCTTATGTTGTAATGTGAAAAATTCGAATTATTAAAGCGGCTGGACTTGTATAGGGAGCTATTGTCACGTTTACTATGAAATTGGTTTTTAATGCAAATTAAAAAAATGAAACCGAAAGAAAGAGTGAAATTTGAATTACAATTTGGTGGTCATTTATGTAGCGAGGCGCCGAAAGCCTTTGAATAACACTGATCAAGTCAGTGTTAAGCAGTAATATATGTTAAAATTTATGCCTTTGAGGAGCACATGTATATGCGTTTCTGTGTGTATATCTACCATATCTGAGTGATAGAGAAAATATTACATTTTAAATGGTCTATATTTCATTTGATATAAGGCTCTTTGTATAAGATGCCTTTTGGTCCCAACCAAAAAGGGTGTAAAATTACTATAACTAGTCATCACATGACTGTCTATATAATATCACCCCTATGACAGACAAATCTCCATGGGCGTACCTAGAGGCGAAAGTAGTGGGCGGGGATAGTTGCGCTGGTATTCTGATATAAAATTTTTTTATACTTTATGCAACCAAAACGCGGAAAAACTATTATTTAAGAAATATATGTCTGTCAAATATATGTATGTAAATTAGTAAAAAAATTCGAATTTTTCACATTTCTTACAAGTATTATTTAATTTTGTTTCAAAACAATAATAAAATATTGAAGGTTACTTTGAAGGCGCCATCCCCCTGAAACCATCTGTGTAGGTATGCTCATTCAGATCACCCGACACGGATAGAAAAGACTGCTAAGGAAATTGGTAATGAAAAAAGAGCGATATGTGGCTGTATAATAAATAAATAAATTTTGTCAGTGAATATTGTATGACCAAATAAAGTCCCTAATATATTTACTAGTTTTTTTGCCGACAATCTGAAAAATGTTTTGTATTGTTGCATAGAAAAGGCGTTTAAAAACTCACGTCTGAGTAGCATTTTTGTTTTAAATACTAATACATTTATTTATTGTATGTTCTCTTCCAATGAGACTAACAATGATTTTTAAAATCTTATCACTAATTACATAATATTACAATTTTAACTATACATTGTATTATATAAAATAAAACAAGTAAACCTTATGTCACGGACTTCAGTTAAATGAATGGGTAAAATTCCATTAAAGTGAATTTTAGGAGCTTTTTAGGCTTTTTTAGGCGGGAAGCAATGGATATAAGTGTGAGATTCCTTACTAAGGGGTTAACATATTTTGGAAACCCTTTATTGTATTTTTTCTTATTTCTTATACTGTCAAATTCAGCTTTAACTAAGGGAATTTGTAGATCTCGGTGAATGCTTTCATTCCTAATATACCATAAGGCATCAGTGCTTGTTGTCAGTATTTTTGACAGAATTCTTTGGATAATTTCAATATTTGAAGCACTAGCATTACTAAATAGCAGGATATCATAAGTCTATATTGCTTTTATGAAGTTGTTATACAAGAGTACTTTATATCCTAGGCACAGGGAGATTCTGTTTTCAATGAGCCAGTATAACTTTTTGGCTTCAATATACTTGTTTGTCTTGGTGAATACTTAAGTACATCATATTATCTGCTTGTGGTATTGGAATGTTATTTAGTAAAATTGTTGGAGATATAGTCCGACTTAAGTTAAAAATGAAGTGGCCACATTTTAGTTAATTCATTTTAATGCGTCATTTTGACAACAATTTCTCTACCCAAATAAAAGTGAGATATAAGTTGATTTGAAGCTAAAATAACGCTTTTGTTTTGGCATAAATTGTACAATATATTATTGTACAATATAACATTGGTAGCCTGCTTTTTGTAATTTTATTTGAAATATTTATTCATCGTAAATGTGGATAATAACTTCAACTTTAGAAGCAATCATCGATTGTGCGAATGTGTAGGTACAGCTTAAATACCATGAACAAAATATGACTTAATTCCAAAACCTATATTTATGTACTGTATATTTAAAGTACATATGTAAGAACATCTAACTTATATAAATATGGTCATAAATGTAGATACATATGCTGAACTTTTAGTGGGACTATTTAGGTTTCTTTGCTTTCTAGTGCCCACAAAACCGTAATAGAGCAAATAAGACAGTAATAGGAAAGGAAACCATCATGTATGATAGTATATATTATTGATTTTAGTTAAAATGTAGGAGATCAAAAAACCTATTCCATAAAAACTGTAATAGAATAAAACTTAAAAATGTCTTGTAAAATTTCTATAATTGACCTTTATAGTAATATACTCATTTTTTTTTCTCCAAAAAGGCCTCAAATAAATTCAGAACTAAGTATTGTCTTTGATCAGTACTAGATCAAATCAAAATCATAAGGGCAAACGATATCTGGTAGGCAAAAATCTAAAAAAAATATTGAGATGTAAACTTCACAATTCTTACTTTTTAATTTTATTACAACTAATAATAAAATAAAACAGTTTTGATATTTAGAAATTTTTATAATTGACGGTATATTTTTTTTCTTACTCTGCACTACGGTTGTATTAAAAACTGACCACAAACAAAATAGGCCAAGGACTAACTACTTCAATTTATCGTAGTTTCATACGAGACACCGATTTGTTGCTTTTAAAATATTTGATATTAACTATTTAATAATATTAAATCACAAAATGCGTTTTTAATTTCTTCTGAACAGTGCTGTGTTTTTCTTTAAAAACGATCCCTGATAATGGTTCTTAACAATCAAAAATAGTTGTTAATAATCAAAAATTTACTTCAGTACTCATAATTGACTTTTAGTCTAGTTCAAGTATACATTGTGACCGAAAAGTTTCCTTTGCGTTTTAAATAAAACGCAAAATTCTTAATCTTCATCAATATTTATTTTATCTCCTTCAAAATATGCTCCATTAGAAGCGATACACAAATGCCAACGTTTCTTCCAATCATCAAAACATTTTTTATAGGCGCTTTCCGGTATGGCTTTGAGTTCCCTCTGCGAATTCTGTTTTACGTCTTCTATGGATTCAAAACGCGTTCCTCTGAGTGGTAATTTGAGGTTGGGAAACAGGAAAAAGTCACACGGTGCAAGATCAGGTGAATACGGTGGCTGTTCGATGGTATTTATTGAATGTTTGGCCTTAAAATCGTTGATAATGTTGAACAAATTGAGGTGAATCGGAACAAGCCGGGCGTTGACACGTCGCATACACAAATTGTCCACCAAAATCAAACGAGCCATCTCACGACCGATGCCTAGCTCTCGTGCTATCTCTCTAACACTCACATGAGGATTTTTGAACACGATTTCCTTTGCCTTTTCAATGTTTTCGTCGGTGGTAGAGGTCGAAGGTCGTCCAGAACGCGGCATGTCTTCGACGGTCGTACGACAGTCCTGAAAGGCTTTGTACCACTCATAAACTTGAGTTTTCGATAAAACTGATTCCCCATAAGCCTTTTGTAGCATTCGCAACGATTCTGCACACGAAATTTCGTTCGAAAAACAAAATTTGATGCAAACTCTTTGTTCAATATTTTTTTCCATTGTTTTTTTCGCAACGCACTACTGAGGTGAACTGGTTTCAACAGCTGCCGTAAACGAACTGTCCGACAGATCGCGCTCATTTTTGGCATAGTAATTAAGGACAGTGCTGCCAAACTACATAAACTTAAAATATCGAAAAATATACAGCGCGCGAATTTTAAATGAGAATTTCCGAAAACTTTTCGGTCACAATGTATAATAATTAAGTAAAATATAATTAACTTACTGCTTTTGTGTAGATATTTAAAAACAGGCAATCTTCATTTCCGACGATTGTGTTCATCTTTTTATTCTGTTGTACCGATTTCTCTGCTTTACGGGTGCAGTCCTTCACACAGCTCCAATGCAGTGGAGGCAATGGATCTTTAAATCTTAACTCGCCTATTGGTGGGCGGGCGTACGGAATACCTTCGAAGCTATAAAAATAATCATTATATATAGAATATTGTTGTAGTCCTTGTATTGGTCCATAATTAGTATAAACAATTATTTCTGGGGATGGTCTATAATAGTGTGTCATCGATTACAACAAATTTGAGGATATAAAAGGTATAACTGTTTCATTTTATACTTACAATTTACTCATGTTTTTTGAATTTTAATGAAATAGGAAATCAGACAAAATTCTGGGCCTAAAAGTTTTTGCTTGTGAATTAATCTAAAATTTATTTACTATTGCAACTATGTGGAATTTTACAATTTTTAAATATTTATATTTAAAATTTTTTATATAAACGTTTAATTTGAATATCAAGGCTAAGTTGATAACAATAAAAATAAATATTAGTATTACTATATTAGTATTACTAAAAGCTGGTCCAATGGGATGGACTATTTTTTGCATTTACATGTATAATAGATTCCTTTTCCAAAATTTTGATATGGTACAAATGAAACACCGAATGGTTTTTTATTTAAAATGTAATTAATTATTTTACTAAAAATTAAAATTCACTTTCATGGTCTTCTTAAACCATAAACTAAAAGAAATCATAATATATTAAAAAGCAGACACATCAAATTAATAAATATTTTAAAGAAGTCATCTTTTTATTTGATTTTAAGGATGAAAAGAACAAAAAAAAATTAAAACTTTGAAACCATAATATATTAAAAAGCAGACACATCAAATTAATAATTATTTTAAAGAACTCATCTTTTTATCTGATTTTAAGGATGAAAAGACCAAAAAAAAATTAAAACTTTAATACAGACGAACATAGGATTTTGGAACAAGTGTATTTTAAAAGTTGGGTTTGATTACCGTGTAATATGTTAGTAAATCATTTTAAGGATTTTATAATTTAATTTAAATTTAAAAATGAGTTTTTTATATTAAATTAATTTTACTATTTCATTAAAAAATTATTGCGTATAATCTCTTTTTCCTACATGATTTCTTTAAAATAATGATTCTTTTGTATAAAAACTGTTCCAGACATCAATTTTTGGTTGCTCAGGGAAGTCTATAAAATCCAATTCCTTATTAATGTTCAAACATTTTGTTGTTTTGTTATCACTAGTAACTGGTTGCCAAATACTGGGCTTTATCTCATCACAATTAGGGTTGGAAGTTTTGGCAAATGTAGTCCACATACCAATCATGCGTTGAATAGTTTTAAACTCTTCAGAATCCTTAGAAAGTTTTGAAGCTACAGCATGGAAAAATAAATAAGAGAGGTCATCACAATGGCAAACACCTCGCACACCTTTATCAGAAATTAGACTGCGGAAATGATTGAAATGCTCCGAGTCAAAATCGAAACGATAAAAGTAAGTCGGAACATGTGGACCATATGTAAGTCGGGCATGACAGTGCGTATAAATCCGTGGAAAAAGTTTTTGTAGCTTAGTAACTGTAGAAAATTATGCACAACTTGAGAAAACTAAATTACTTTTAAAATAAAACTTATCTTACGTCTAAAAATTTCATTAATAATTATCTATATTAGGTGTCTTGTTGCCAAAATAAGCTTGCTTTAGTCTTGAACCCATTTCCTTGAGTTCCTCATAATTATGTTTTTGTTTAACTTCAGTAGGTAAAACATGTATAAAATCAGTCAATTTATTGATTGTGTCAGGGTTTTTTTTGATATGTTGATACAAAAGAAGTCCTTCAAAAGAAGTTACGCCTACAATAATCGGTATATCATTAGACCAGGCATCTTTCAACATTTCTTTCGACGGCTTTGGTATAATGCAGTCAGTTGAAAAATAAGGCTCAACTACAGGCACAAATCCAAATAGTTGTTGTTCTAACATCTTTTCATGTGCTGTAAAAAGATTATTACTGCATTTAGGAATTCTGTGAGGTTTTAATTTTGACAAATAACGAAAGACATCTTTATCAATATTTTTGCCCTTGTAACCTAAAGCGCATGCTAAACGATAGCCCAAATCATAGATTGGTGTGCACGCCCATGGACATAAAGCACTTCCCGACTGTAAAATGGCTTTGTGGAATAAACCTTTAGTTCTCTCAGTTAACATTAGAGCGTGCGTTGAAGCGGCACCTGCACGCACTTTCGCCCATAAGCGTTATATTGTTTGGATCTTCATTAAAATTTGAACGTTTTCGCATAAACGTTCAAATATAGACAGTCTAAGGTTAGGTACGGTTAGGTAAGGTTAGGTATTGTAATTTAAATATCAGATTTATCATATGGAAAAGTTTCAGATGATTCAAATTTTAAAAATGTGAAATGTAGCAAATATTTTGATTAAAGTGCAACGAATAAATAATTTAAATAAAAATATTTCATGTTTTAATACCGAAAATGTTAAAAAAAAGAATACAACACTTAAAAAAAACTTGCAGAAAAATGTAAAAAGGGTTGTATGATGGATTTGAAAAATCAGGTTTTCCTCAATGCACTGGTTCCATCTTTTAACAATTTTACATTTAAATTCTTAAGACGGTGGAATTCTATCGTTTTATTGTCACTTGTGGACCAATGAAATAGAATATTTTTATTTTGCTAGAATTGTTTAATAAACGCAATATATGCAGATGTCATTTCAGTTATATGAACATGAAAGCGCAAGTCAATGCAATGATTCTAAAATTTACAAAAAATCTTTATTTAAATCATATATAATATCATGTCCCCTTGTGAATGACATGAGCAAGGACATTTGCGATACTTTAGTACCCCTATTCATCATTGGAGATTCATCGTTCAGATTCTCGGAACATGTTCCGAAGTCTTATCCATATTACAATAATCAATGTAAAACTCAACTCGCTTTCAATTATAACTGAGCTAACACTAGAAGAGTTGTGAAAAATGCATTTGGAAAATATTTTATTAAATAGTTTTAATATAAATATATTAAATGATTATCAAAACTGTTTTGCACAATTTTTTAAAAGAAAATAACGATTTTATTATTTCTATTAAGTATTTTTATATATTATTAATTATTTATTTCTCTTTTTACAATTTCCAAACTTCAATAATGAGCTGTTCGATGGCTTTGTGTATTTACATTACACAGAATTTACTTATACGTATATATTTAATTGAGGTACTCGTGATTAGTGGAAATATTCCTATTGACCTGCAGGCTCAAGAGCGAAAAACATGTTGGCAGGCAAAAGAAATGGGAAACAACAACACCGACAACCAGTTGGTAAGACGCAGAACCATTGCAGTATGGCAGCAACGCTGGGACTCAGATAACCGTGGACGATGACCGCAAGGCTTATCCCAGATCTAAAAAACTGGCTAGCAAGAGACTTTGGCGAGGTTAACTACTGCTTCACTCAGTTTCCGTCGGGACATGGATACTTTAACAGCTACCTCTACCGCATGCGCAAAGTAGAGTCACCAAATTGCATATATTGCGGAGCGGATTCTTTGAGTGCAATAAGTGGTTGCCCGAACGAGAAGCACTAACAACGCAAGTTGGTACCTTCTCTCCCAGGACGGTAACGCAAAAAATGATCGAAAATATAACAAACTGGAATCGCGTAAAAATGTTTGCTGAAAAGATCCTGAGATTGAAAAAAGTAGACCTTGACAGAAGACAGCTGGAGTAAAACAGATGTACCACACAAAGATGAAGGATAAGGTTAATCACCTGCAGCCGCTGCGGGGCCTGGACGCAGGTCACACCGATGGAAGTCTTAGATGACTAATAGAGACCCTACCTCGAAGTAATACTAACATAGTCCCGGGGTAGGACAAGGTCTCTAGGAATGAGGGGGAGTTGGTTTAGTCCGTGCGAGTCGAATACTTACTCTCCGGGCCGTCGGATTATGGTCAGTGCGTAGGCATTCCACTACTCCTTGCCGCAAAAAAAAAGGAAAAAAATATATATATATAATTGAAAGTTTTTACCTGTAATTCACTCTCCGTTTTATTTTATATTTACACTTTTTAGCAGTTTTCACAAAACATAAACTTTTACACGTTTTAATTATTTTCAAAACATATTTACTTCGCATATATGATATAAACAAATGTAAAATAACAGTTTTGTTTACTTTCGCCGATAATATTATGTACAAATACACTTTAATTTCGCAAAAATCTTAATGTCATCTTCGTTTCAGCGAAATTAAGTTGTTTTTTTTCCATACAAAATTCAGTTGTAAAAATAGAACGAAATTAAGAAAATGGCCTTAATTTCGTTGAAACGAAGGCTGAAATTAAGGGACATTTCCAATGCAACTATAAGTAAGATGTATTTTAAGCAAAAGATAATGTTAAGATAATGAAAAAGTGACGAGATTTTTTAAATAAATGTCAGAGATAGTTAACTTTAATAAACCTGGGAAAATATTTTGAAAGCAATGCAAATTTTAAAATTTGAATATAGAGAAAAAACTGTAAATGTTATTAATTTAAAATAGAGTGAGATATAATAATTCACATACCTGAAAACCACTAAAGCTAATAAAACTACTGAATGCCATCCTTTATTGCTATAATAATCAAAATTTAAAAATTTCCAGATACAAATTGTATTTAGAGCTTGTAATTTTTAACATTCGATTTGTAAACAAAAAACATAAAATTTTCTTTAATTTGGGGCAGTATGAACACTTTCAAAATTAACTTAATTTCATTTTTACGAAGTTAAGGATCGTCACAGGTAACGAATAATAAATCTATGCATATGAGCCCGAGACAAAACAACAATCGACAGTGTGGATCTTCGAAGACGAGCGAAATCCAACGAAGGTTGTTCGTGGAAGAAGCACTTCGAAGCAAAAAGTCGCATATTTCTTCGGCAAAATTGGTCATGTGGCTACTGTTCCGCTTGATGGGTCATCCGCCGTACAGCCCTGACTTGGCACCTAATGACTTCTTTTTATTCCCGTACATCATGAAAAAAATGCGTGGCCAACGATTTCGTCGCCAGAAGATGCTGTTGAAACGTTCAGAAACCATGTTTTGGAGGTGTCTCAATAGGAGTGGAAAAAGTGCTTCGACAATTGGGTTGAGCGCATGCAATATTGTATAAATCAGGCTAGAGAATACTTTGAAATACAATAAAATAATAAAACAATTTTTGATGATAAATATTCGCATTTTCACTATTAGGCCAGAAATATATACAGCAGCCCTCGTAGGTGGTAGATTCTTCACAGATTCTTGAATGTCAGGCTTTGATATATGATTGAATATGGACGAAGCGTCTCAAGTGGCACTATGCATATATAATTTTAGTGCATATA